CTCTAAGAAACTGACCCAGAATGGTCACAACTGTGTTAACAAAAAAACAAACACTGAACAACTCCTGGCCAAGATCACCAGCAAATTTAAAGATTGAACAGTGTACAAAACAATCCCACGACGAGACCACAGATTTTTGGGGATATGTTGTTCTGTCACATATCACTCCTGTCGCGTGCCTAATGTAAGGATTTCTCCTTCAGAACCAGCAGCACTCAGAGATAATTTTGTTGAGTCGTTTGGCTCGTATTGGTCTAAGGGATTCCCCGTGGCCAATATACGATCAACTTATCTCTGGAGTAGGGCAACTCAAGTATTGGCACTACAAAATATATCAGTATATAAATACAATATTTCTAGGCACACTTGGCTGGACACCCCCACTACTTACTAAAGAAAGCCCCCAGGTTATGATAATTCATTATCATAACCATGTTAACACATATAATGAAGATACATACACATACAACTGCTAAACACTTAAGAAGGTGACATAGAGAAACCTAAGTCAGCCATGAAAATGAATGCATGTATTTAGTATAATATCTGTACAAAAACAATTGAAGTGAATTCCAGCTATCAGTGAAAGAATTTCAGCACTAATGTCTAGATCCTAAGGAAACTAGGCAGACAGCCGGTCCTGGAGGTGACATCTTCTCATCATTGGACACAGGGAGCTGTGAGGAACACAACATCATGTGAAGCATTAGACTTATCTTCTCTTTTCTCTGTCTATGATGCCTCCCTCAGCTCCGGATGATTTGACTGTCTTTGACTCTGGGAATTCTGCTCCACTGGATCAAGTAGCAAGAGTACTTCACTATACAGCAACTGTATCGTTATCTAGCAAGTCTCTATTACCAGTAAGGACACACAATGTCTTTGAGCCACATTAAGCTCTGGCACTGGTAGCTGTTTGAGGCACAATCTCCCCCATTTTTGGAGATGTCAGGAACCTTCACAGGTGTTAGCTGGTGGGTAACAAGTTGGTTCTGGTGGTTGGATGTTGGTGGATGTTGGTGAGACTGTGAATCTTCTGCCAGCTCTTCAGAAAATATACATCCCAAGCATATGTAAAACTGAGCCCTTTCCAGATTGCCTAGAAGATTTAAAGTATACAGGCACAGATTAACACATCTGGAGGCTTGAGAAGCTGGCCAGGAGAATGGCGTCAGTTAGACATTTCAGGCGTTGGTACAAAAGAAGTTCCTTGTATACTGGGGCAAGGAGTAAATCGGTTTCCAAGAAACCTCAATTAACTCCCTAAATATATCCCCAAAAGAAATACATTTAAAAGTGGAGTTTAGTTAAAGTAACCAGAAAAGGCAGACATAATAATGTTGTCCAATACAGGCCTATATATATAGATATAAGGGACTATATATTTCTGGGCGAGTCCAAGTTTGAATTTTGTGCAGATTACAGGTAAGACAGGTTATCAGCCTTACAAACCGATGTGTAATGACTATCATTTCACAACAGATATGAGTGAGACCGTGGGTAGGAAAGTGCATGAGGCAGGAGAGCTGACAAGAGTCCGGGCTTCTTTTAGGCAGACTGTGATAAGAACAACGTTCTGCAAGGACATGCTGCATGATGATGATGAGTCAAAGAAAATAAAATATCACTTTATGACATTCACCTTCTTCACAATAGTGAGAGAATGTCATGTATCATCTTAAGTACAGTCAAGAGAAAGTCACAAATAAAAACACACCACAGCTGACGCAACATAACAAAGCTGTGGATTTAAAACCAAAAACCTTTAGACCACCAGGCAAGCCTCTTATCATTGTGCTACAGTGGATACTAACAACAGTAAAGCAAAAATGTATAGTAGCAAGATTTGGTTTAATCTAACGGAAGGGGATAAGAAATGTCAACATTCTGTGCATCGTCTTCTAAAAGATCCATGCAGTGTGGTGTTGGTAGTCGTGTTTATCCACAGCCTTCTGGCTTGTGTACTTTCAGTCAGTTCTGACACTGATGATCTACCAAGTTATAATGTCAAACTGTCCAGCATCTTCTCTTTCAGTCTTCCTCTACTACTTTTCTCCACCAACATTCACACCCTATGACACTAAAACGACAACTGATAAATTGCATGTTTATACCAACCCTCTGCTACCAATGCCAAACCTGGTCCCTAACAAGAGCACAGGAGAAAAAGATCACGACGTGCGAAATGAGATGCTTACGTAAGGCTGCCAATGTCACAAGGAGAGACAGAGTTCGAAACGAGAACATTAGATCAATTGTAGGAACCACACCATGCCTGCAATACATAAAGAAGCAACAAATAGAGTGGTTTGGACACTTGATGCGAATGCAAACCGACCAACTGCCTCTACAAGCATACAACGAACAGCACTACTGCCCTAGAGCAAGAGGCAGACCGAGAGTACGATGGATAGACAATATATCAGAGATCCTGAGGCAACACGGACTAACAACAACACGTGCAACACACCTGGCCCAGGATAGAAAACTGCGACTCCCCACTACGCTGTGAGGCAATTGTGGACAAGACAAGACATTCACACCGTCATGATGTACTCCAGTTTTTCTCCTTCTCATGACATGACCAAAGAATCTATATTGTCTCCTGATATGAACAATCAGTTCTCTTCGTGAGGCATTTTCTTTCAAGACATTTTCATTACTTTCTTTATCTGTCCAGTATATTCTCATTATTGTCTATAAATCTGCATCTCCGCTGCTTCCAAATCTGTGCATCATCAAGGATATTTTGTTCTTTGAATCACATTCATCTCCAGAATCATGGATCAGGTCAATGTTCTTGTCATGCCCCCATATATGGGCCAAACCATTCAGGTATTTATTTCTTTGCCTTCCTCTCACTCTCTTTCCATCAATTTTGCAGTTATTACCAAGATCTTGAGTCCATACCTTCTCATAACATGTCCAAACACAGAAAACACACTTACTACATCAAATTGTACTAATTATTTACATGTAGTTTAATATTTTTATCTATCTCAGTGAGATATCTATCTATGTCTATATCTCTAGACAGATATCTTCATTTGTTTCTTCTTTATGTGGCACGGGTAAAAAAATTTGCTTAAGAATAATACACAGTTAGTTATCAATATCATAATTATATCATAAAGCCATAATCAATATCAAAATTACGTCACAAAGCCAAATTAATTCACATATTACTGAAAGTTTCAAATGACTTACATTTAGTAATTGTAAATATAAATCACAGATGGTAAAGAAAACCACAAGAGAAAATGTAAAAATCACACGTTTATCTCTCATATTTCTCTCAACAGCATTGAGAACAAAACAGTCTTGATGGGCCAACAAAACAGAAAAATTATTAATTAAAACAAATGCGTACAATTTATTTTCAGTAAACAAAATTTATTTTCAGAATTACCTTAACAAAATACCTTAAAAATAATATAAAACCCATGTGCAATAACACTTTTAAAAATAAATATTAACAACATCCAGGCATATTTCCAAAAACGTGACAGAGAAAACAAGTGTATTAATACAATTTTCTTCCTTGCTGTTTTCTGTAAAATAAAGGCAGTCTGCTAGAATAAGGGTGTTGTAGCTTGTCAATTGTTTTGGCATTTAGGTGTTGCAGATTGTCGAGTTTCTTGCTGCTGGCCTCCCATACAGCTTTGTTAACTGGGTCTTGAATAGCTGGTTTATATTTTTCATAAAAGTAGGTAGCTATCTGAATTGTACTACCTGGAATTTAAGATAATAAATTATACATAAAACCTTGTTAACACAAGCAGCAAGATCAAGAGTTTTTATTTGAGGATGTCCAAGAGAAAGCTTAAAATGAACATTACTGAGAGAGACCAAAGGTATTAGACTTGATTCCATCTATGATATTAAACAAATTTCAAGACAGAACAGAATAGAAGATTACACCGTGACATAAAAGGCACAACAGGATGATGATCATAATTTAAGAGTTGCACAATTAAAGTGAAAGTGGAGAGTATTGACATTGCACTTCATTGCACCAGTTTTTATCCCATATGGCTCGGTCTCTCTCCACAGAACAGCTAACCGACTCCTGAGAGCAGCCACACAGAGCATGAACTCTGTAGCTCCAGCAACGATCCCCAGGAAAAATTGCATTCGTCAATTGCAGGGCGCAGCAGTGGAACGATCCCATGACCTTCAGAGCGCAAGGCCAATGGCTTGATCACTTCCCCACAGAGACACCCTCCCCCTCTCCCCCATGCTACACACAACACACATACTATTGTTTTTTAAACCGTTATCTGACCTCAGAGACTTCATGCAAATAACACAGCATACTATTACAATCTTGTTTGACCTAATTTTCTACTGAAAACCAAAAAAACCTGACACAATATCCCAACTTATGTAACTTTACTGTTTTCACTGAGGACAAATAAACACTACAGAAGAACAAATAGATTAACACTGTCCTGAGAGAATTACACAGTGAGGACTGGCCAAGGGATCTGGCTGAGAGTCAGGGGAAAGGTGTGATAGACATACATTCAGACTACACCTGCCATCATGGATACTGGAACTTGGCACTGGCTACTGAAGATAGAGATAGAGCACTTACATAAATTGATGTGCATGCAATGCTCAAATCCAGAAAACAAGAGCAAATTGTAGAAGTGAGTGAACAACCAGAACTTTCCACCATAGTTTACAGCCGGTGAACACGAAAAAGAAGAAGAAGACTATTATTGAGAACAAATACTAATAAAAACAACAGTTTGTTCACATTACCTAAGGCTTCTGTTGGATAGACTTTGGTCTGAAGTGTCCAAGGTGCTTCTACTTTCTGCATCACATGTTCCCCAAACAAATTGTCATCCCATTTGCTGCCCTGTTGTCAGAAATTAAGAATTAAACAACATTCCTAAGAATTTAAATTACTGTTATTTTTTAATTATATATTTAAATACAGGATAATCAGTTTCATTGCACACGGTTTTATCTCAAAAAGCTTGATTTTTCTCTACAGAGCGGCTGCTCATCCATCAAGATCCTTGCACAAAGAATGAACTATAGCTCCAGCAACAAACCCAAGGTCTCTAAAACACCTAGAATTATGATCCAGTGATGTAGTCTGAAATCTAACCTTCAAACTTGTAAGCATATGACAAGTGGCCTAACCATTCTGACACAGAGATCCACTTGTTTAATTTTGTCATTACCAAGCAACTCACCTCTCACTCTTTCATAACTCCTAATATGATTTATTTATTGTTTACTCATTGTGACTTTCCAATAGTTAAATTAACCAACTCTTCTCATTATTTTTTCCCATCATTGTGTCTTGTTAGATAGTTACAATAACGAGCTTTTCAGAGCTTATCCAGTAATTACATTAACCAACACTTCCCTACAGCTATATTAATTTGTTTAATTCTATATAATTATCTTTTAACTCCTTTGGACACAACAGTGATTAGTGTAATGCAACAGCTTTTTTGGAAAAACAAGTTAAGGTAGGAATTGTGTGGGATTAAAAGAATAATAACAAATAAATCTTGCATTGTTTTAATTTGCAACTCAATAAATGTTTTATACAAACTGTTGCCTCTTTGAAAGTATTATACACATGTTATTTTATTTTGATTGTGTCTTCTGTGTATTTGCCATGAAAATTTCAGCAACTAAAAATTGTTGATGCTTCTAAAGGAGTAAGAAGATAACTAGTGTTGACACCAAAGACTTTAGTATTCTACTTGGTTTAAATATAAACTAAAGGTCTTAGGATGAATTTCACTGTCCTTGGGTTTTATCCCATATGGCTCAGTTTCTCCCCACAGAATGGCTAGCCACATGCTGAGAGTATCACACAAACCACAAGCTCTGAGGCTCTGATGACGATCCCCATAAAAAATAGAAATTACATCTTAATTTTAAAAAAATTATAGAATTACTACTATCACTTGGAAGATGCATTAGGATAGTGATGAGTGCATCTGCCTATCAGATCAGTGGTCTAAGTTCAGTCTGCAGCAGTGGCATAGGCAGAATTAGTTTTTCTGACAAATAAATTGGATTGATCTGCCTTCATTCTTCTGCTTCTTCTTGTTAACCAGCTGTAAACTCAGACGGCCTGTTCTCTTCGTTCTACACTTCTGGACTTTGGTCTTCTTTCAGAACTTAAGTTTTGCTTGCATATCTGTTTTACAGATCTGGCTTATCTGTATGCAGACTATTGATTCCTCATATTTCAGGCAGATGTACTCCAACTTTGAAGGACACTCCCCTAATTAGTCTACTTTTACGACATGCTTGTTAGGAAGGCAGTGGGTCTATTCTGTTTCCGCCACAACAGTGCCCCTGAACTCATATGAGAAATTCAGCCTCATTAGAATGGGTGCCAGACTATTCCAGATAATTTTTTAATAATGGAAAAGTAATGGGGAATGGAAGTGGACATACCACACCACATGATATGGCCTAGAATGTGTAAAGCTAACACTTCAACTTGATGTAATCTTTACTAATTCTTTGGACAACAACCAGAAATGTAGCCTTCCATTTTAAAGTTTGGACTCTAGAGTTCTGTTAAAAGCCATTAAAAAAACTGCCATTACTACCATTTTTTCTGTGTGTGCATGGGGATCTTTGACCTTGAGGATTTAGGGGTCCATGGACTGTGCAGGTTAGGGTTTTACTTTTGCCCTCAACAGAAACAAAATCCCCAGTCTTGCCAAGGATTTCTTCTTCCTCTCTGTTCACCAGCTGTAAGCTCTGGCAGAAAGTCCTGGTTGTTCATTCATTTGGACTTTGGCTTTGTGCCAGAGCCTGAGTTTTGTATGCACATCCATTTTACTGGTTTATTAGTGTGCAGCTGGTTGTTCCTTTGTGCTCAGGCAGATGCACTCAGGTTTCGAAGGAAGTCCACAGATAGTCAACTCCCATGGCATGCTTGTTGGCGAGGCAGTGGGTCTATTATTGTTTTCCCCACAAGCCCATTCCGGAGCTAAGGATTTCAACCTGGGTCTCTCGCATGAGTGCCCTGTATACCAAACTGTTTGGCCAGCAGCTCCTCTGTTAACCTGAATGCTTTAATTTATCAACAAAGTTGTTTCTGGCTACATATCTTAGAAATAGAAGATCCTCAGCAATGAGAGGTAAAACAAATTATAGACATAACAGTAATTACATTTTGGATCAACTGTTTAAGCCACTGAATAAAGAACTGCCATCTTGGAATGTAGTAACTGAAAAAACAAACACACACAAGTATTTGTTAGTAAAGGCAAGTAAAAGGACATATAGTAAGTTTTTGTTTACAGCAGGTATCTCACTTAGTGCTTGACTGAGCCCTAAGGACTTTAAGGCTCCAGGTGTACTGCACACGGGCTCAGTGGCTGCTCCAGCAAAAATTTATGTAACTACAGATAAAGAAACAACAATCACATTTCAAAACCAAAGTCTACCAGTTATTGTCTGCATTTACAAGATAAATTAAAAATCTCGTCTGAAAAAGTAAAATTAGTATTGTTGCTTTCTCTGCTACATATCTCCATGAATCAAAACAAAATACAGAAGCCACTGTAGTTCTGAACCAGACATGTAATTATCATCACTTTGAAATCAGATCAAAAAAGTGCAAAAACACTGAGGCCATGGGTGCAAACATTATTATATGGACCTTATTGTTGCTCTCAACTAGTGTAAATTATATTGTAAAGCAAGTGGTTTGATTTATTACTTTTTGAAAGAACTTTTATGTATGCCCAAGATGTATGCATCATTTCTATATCTCCCTCCTCCACTGCTGATCTTTCCAGTCATCAACTATGAAAACTCTAAATTTAAAATAAAGTTAATTTATAAAATCATAAAACTAGGAAATAAAATAGAATATGACTTACTCTGCTGTCACTCCAGACCACTGTTTGGAAGCATAATCATGAATCTGAAATAAATGTAAATGTGTTCTGGGTACACCGCATAAATTATGCTGATATACATAATTAGACAGTTTTCGAGAAGAAATTTGATCAGAAATTATGGTATCAGGAAGTGAATAGGTTGGAAGCTAGAAACAGACTTTTTTTGAAAGAAAGAAAAAAACATGTATACAGATATATATGTGTGCGTGCGTGTGTGTATGTGAGAGAGAGAGAGTGAGAGAGAGAGAGACAGAGACAGATACAGAGACTGTGCTGCCTAGCAAAGTCTGTCCTTTTAGACTAGAATGGAAATCAAAGCTATGTTTTCCACACTGTAAATGTGAACAAAGAAGACAGTAGTTTATACAGTTTATCACCTGATATATTTAGCTGTATTTCATTAGTTGCATACTACAGTAAAAATAATTTTTTATGAAGCAAATAAGTGAATTCATTTGAAATGAAGTACACATTCAACCACCCTCAAAAGGATCTGCCTGTTTTACCAGGGGGAATTATGTTAAAGTATGTAATGAAAATGCAAAGTGCATAACTGGTAATTATGGTCCACGTGAAAAGAATGAGTGTGTGACAGATTGGTAGCTTAACAGCAATTTAATGATAATAGTTAACACATGATTCAAAGACTATCACCATTAATGTGGACTAGAATATGTGGACTCAGAATAGTGATAATGCTTGCAGTGATGCTCAGACTGTAATTCTCATCATGCTTCATTTATAGACAAAATTAGACTTAAAAAGATCTAAATAAAGTAAAATTAGATTTAGCATTATTTAAAAGAAAGAAATTATGGAAAGTTCACTGTAAGTAAAGTAAGTAAAAAACCCTTCTCACACCTTTGGTGCATAGGGCACATAATGCTAGATCTACATTTGTATAGATAAATCAACACTCAATGGGCACTGTGGTAAAAATCCCAGAAGGCAACTTTATTTCCCAGGACACTACCTAGTACCAATTTTAGGCTAGGTCAACCGGGGAGCCATTGTTAACTTGGAAGAAAAATCTACCCTGATAGGGATTAAAACCCTAGATCTTTGGGATGCCAGGTAAGAATCTAGCCACTAGGCTACTGCGACTCTCACAAGTTCATTGCACCGAACAATAATGCCATCAAATTAAAGAATAAAATAAATACGGTAACGAACATAAATTAGTCTTATATGGTTGAAATATATGCACTATGTTAAGTCTAATATGGTTGAAATTTATGCACTATGTTAAGTCTAATATGGTTGAAATATATGCACTATGTTAGGTCTAATATGGTTGAAATCTATGCACTATGTTAAGTCTAATATGGTTGAAATTTATGCACTATGTTAAGTCTAATATGGTTGAAATATATGCACTATGTTAGGTCTAATATGGTTGAAATATATGCACTATGTAAGGTCTAATATGGTTGAAATCTATGCACTATGTTAAGTCTAATATGGTTGAAATATATGCACTATGTTAGGTCTAATATGGTTGAAATATATGCACTATGTAAGGTCTAATATGATTGAAATATATGCACTATGTTAGGTCTAATATGCTTGAAATATATGCACTATGTTAGGTCTAATATGGTTGAAATATATGCACTATGTTAGGTCTAATATGCTTGAAATATATGCACTATGTTAGGTCTAATATGGTTGAAATATATGCACTATGTTAGGTCTAATATGGTTGAAATATATGCACTATGTTAGGTCTAATATGCTTGAAATATATGCACTATGTTAGGTCTAATATGGTTGAAATATATGCACTATGTTAGGTCTAATATGGTTGAAATCTATGCACTATGTTAAGCTAAATGGCAGCAGCTGACAATACCTCTCCATTTGGTCCCCAGAGTGTAATCTGATTTCGTGCATTGTACTCATAAAGCAGTGTTTCATTTGTGGAGTTGCTCCAAGATTTGGCTTCTGCAATCCAGTGGCCTACCAAGAAACGTTCACTTGAAGCCAACAAGATTTCCATGTCATTCAGAAGACTCGTCAGATTCTGTCCAGCTTGTCTGAAGATACATTTTCTACTGTTGTTTAAGTTTATTTATATCCTACAGCAGTGGTATCCAATTTTAAGGGGGCGTCAAGCAATTTTGAAAATGAATGCATTTATACTTTTAATAATCTGGATTTGCAGCTCTCAGATTCATGAAAACAAAATAGTGCTGCCAGCTTGACATGGAGAGTGACCTCTGTTACATTCTGTCCAATATCTGACCCAAAACAAGCAGATATCAACAAGACAAAACTGCAAACTACCACACTGATATCTGGACACTACATTACCAGTTGTTGGTGATTGTTTCTTTTGTTATTTGGCATTTTGAATCATTCAGATATTATTCTCCATGTTTTTGTTAACAATACTTGGGATTTTTCATTTGTCCATGTCTTTTAATTATATTTTGTTATGGGGGATGGGGGGTGGGGGGATGTGTGATCTTGCCATATACTCAAAGGGGCACCACCTGCAAAAAAGTTGGAGACCCCTGTACTACAGTGTTTGGTTTTTCTAGTAACATTCACACAGATCCAACAAAATCTGATCAGAATTTGTATATTCTATGTAGTTTCATTTCAGTGTTTTTATCTGATCTAAATATAAGCTCTCTTCTTCTTCTTCTTCTTCTTTTTCTTCTTCTTCTTCTTCTTCTTCTTCTTCTTCTTCTTCTTCTTCTTCTTCTTCATCTTCATCTTCTTCTTCTTCTTCTTCATCTTCTTCTTCTTTGCATTTCCCAGCTGTAAACTTTGGCAGAAAGCCATGGTTGTTCATCCACCTCTGGACTTAAGTCTTATTCAAGATCTTGAATTTTGTGGGTATTTTTAATTTACAGATATGGCTTATTTATATGCAGACTACTGGTTCCTCACCTCTCAAGTATGTGCACTCTAGCTTCAAAGCAAGCACCCCTAATTAGTCAACTTTTAGGAAATACTTGTTGGGGGCAAGGGGTTTATTCTTGTTTTTCCTCCACAACGGGACCCTGGCGCTTATGCAGATAAACATCTTTTTGCCAGTATTCTGTTTAATGAAACATAGTTTATTTCTTTATACCATGAAAGGGACATATACTTACTCCAAAAACAAGCATAGTCAATTCTCTTTCACAGAAGCCTTTGTATTCTTCTTCACATTTAACGGCCGTAAACTCTGGCAGAAAGTTCTGGATGTTTGTCCACTTCTGGACTCCAGTCCCATTCCAGAATTTGAGTGTTGCATGCACATCCATTTTACAGTTCTGTCCTATTTGTATGCAGACTGCTGATTCTCTGCCTTTCAGGCAGATGCACTCTGCCTTTGAAGGAAACCCATAATTGGTAGACTCTTAGCCAATGACATGTTCTTTAGGGAAACAGTGGGTCTATTTTTTGTTTTACCCACAATGGGGCCTGTTGAAACCCACAAAGGGTTTTATTCTGCCCCTTCCAGTAGCACTATAACCATTTTGTAATTCTCCTCTTTCTTCTCATTGCCCTTAAAAGGGCAGTTTACACACTGTATTGTAGTTAACAGCTGGTCTGTGATATCTGCACCTTTAAGCTTAAAACATCAAATTTAAGTAAACTCTTAATTAGTTACCTTTTCTGGCATAATTTTAAGGGGGCCCTGGAACACAAATGGGGATTTTTTTTTTAAACTTCTAAATTCCATCATCCTTAATGTGTTTATTTGTCAATCATGTGTAAGGCAGAACTCGTATACACTTCTTACTATTAAAAAAAAAAGAGTAATCAATCATTTTCCATGCAATAAAGGATAAGTTAGTTGTGTATCATTTACAGGATATTGCAGAACCAACCCCAGCATTTTTTGGCTGTTGTGGGTTTTCTAAGCAAATTTTTACATTCAGTAGTTTGCCATTGCTTACTGAATGGTCAGCTCTCAGTATCACTATCAAAACCAATGCAAGACAACCCGTCCACAGCTGGGATCAAACCTAGCACCCCAGCATTGTGAAGTGTGTTCGCACAGCCTAAGCAACAGATGCGACAATGAAGGACACTGGGTGTATTATCATGATCATCATGTTGTGCCATTGTATTTCACAAAGGAGTCACAGTCTATTCCTCCATTCTGTGCAATCCTTTTGATATTATTTGATTTGTTTCCTATTTTAGAGCTGGCTAAGAGATTCTCTGCTCACATCTTCTCAGGACATACCCAGTATTGTGTCATCAGGTGTGTGTGTGTGCGCGTGTTGTGCATGTCAGTGTGTGTGCATGTGTGTGTGCATGTGTGTGTGTGCATGTGTGTGTGCACATGTTGTGCATGTGAGTGTGTGTGCATGTGTGTGTGCATGTCTTTTTTAACTGATACCAGTGAAGAACATTTTATGCAATAAATCCACGTCATTGGAGGCTAGGAAAAGAATTCTCACATGCTATATAGAGCCAGTTTTAACATATGGCTTGAACCTTAGACAATTAATAAACAAGCTGAACAATTTCTTGGGGCTTTAGAGATGTGGTTTTACAGAAGAATCCTTTGAATTCCTTGGACAACTTTAAAAAAAAAAAAAAAACCAGAAGTTTTGAAAGATGCGCAGGCTTGAAAACATGAACTGCTACCTGCAACTGCAGATCAGTCAGCAAGGCACTTGATGATGACCAGTGGCTGTCAAGACATTACTCTTTTTGCTCGCTGGGTGTTTATTATTTATAAAACTAACTAGCACTAAATGGGTCAAGTCAACATCATGCAGACTGCCTTTTAATTCCCAGAACATTTCCTGGAATCCAATTTAGGCTGAGCCAAATTTTGAGCCCAGATATATTTAAAAAAACAAAAAAACTGGCCTCAGCTGGTATTGAAATACATGTCTACTGGGGTGATAGCAAGTGTACAAGGCAATGTACCTCCTATAAATGTGTTAAAAAAGGACCATTTTTCACTCCTTTGGGCGTATCAGGCATACAGTGCTAGACCTATATTTTATAGACCAGTCAGCACTTAGTAGGTGATGCGGTTTGCATCACCCCACCCGCCTTTACTTCCTAGAACTTTACCTGGTATCTATTTAAGGCTGGGTCGTCCAGGAAGCCAAGGTCATTTCTGAAAAAACAAAGTTATGTTTGGGAGTTTAAAATCTACTCACAATATTTCAGGATTCTCACTGGTGCTACAGAGCCAGTTCACTGTGCTGAGTTTCTTCGGGCTCAGACTTGAGTTCGAAGAAAAACGGAGCACTTATGGGATACTACCCATATGCCATGATGTTGATTCGTTGTTCAAACTTCAAACTTAAAGCCCATTTTTACATAATATACAGAAATTAATAACATTAGTGAAAATGATGAAGGATGAGGGAGGGGTGCTGTGATTCAGACGACTTGAGGCTGCATGACTAGTGAAACCCTCCAACTTTTTTCCCCCTGCTACTTACAACATAAAAAATATCCATCCCTAATCAAGGATCGGACCCTGTATTCAAACTGCTCAGGCCAAACTGTATTCCAACTAACTAGACACAAATAGCATACTTACTGCAATGCAGTGATGTTTTTATTGTTGAATGCATTTATTATAGAGGCATAGACGGCATTAGCAATGACCTGAAGACTGTTGCGAGTGATGTCTGCTAAATCATAGTCAAACAGGGGAGTTTCTACCACCTGCAGTGAGGCATTAATAAAGCCACCCCAAGCTGCAAACAACTCTTCTGGATTATACCATATCTGAAAAACATTAGATTTGAAGTAACAGCAGTAGATATAAAATGTAAACATTATACAGGATACCTGTTTCATTAAGAAAGAAATTAAGAGTAAAAGGGGAAATTAGAATGTAAGTATAGTAAAGGACCCTTTTCCACACCTTCATGCGTTTTGGGCATATAGGGCTAGATCTAGATTTTACAGACCAATTGGCACTTGTGGGTGATGTATCAACATCACACCAGCCACCTTTACTTTCCAGGACTGTAACTGGTACCCATTTAAGGCTGGGTGACCTGGAAGCCAAGGTCATTTTTTTTAAAAGTTATGGCGCCGTCAGGACCTGAACTCACGACACTCTGGCTTGCAGACAAGCATCTACCTGCTACACCACGGTGGCTCCCAGAATTAGCATGACTCATATATATTTAAGAAATTTGGTCACAGTCATATACGATATTCCTAACTCTTTCAGTACTTCTTCACATTCACTGCTTTTAAACTTTGGTGGGAAGTCTTAGCTGGTCACATAATTCTGGACATCCTTAAAATTATGCAGCTAAATTGAAGTTATTTTTAGACACTTATCTCTATATCAGGGCTATTCAACAAAAATTTTTAGGAAATCAGGATCGTCACAGGCCAGATGCTCCAGCCCAAGCATAGAAAGATCATTAATATAGTACAACTGGCAATGATCCATGGGCCACTTGCTATGCCTCTGTGAGCCAAATTTGGCCTGTGAGCCACCCTGCTCTATATCACACCCCACCAACATGGAACAAATATTGATAATGTGTTAAAGCGATGAATTTTAAAACGTTATTTAAAATCTCAAACATTATCAGTTCTTTCCCATACAGCTCGAGTGGATAGAAAAAAATTATAAAACAGTAATCAGTATATATTTATCACGAAACAATTTTGCCTAGTAGATTCAGAAGGTAGAAGAAAAAGAAGATACAACCCTAATAAATACTATTCTATACAAATGACTTACCTCTGGGCTGTAATGTGGCCAAGGTCTTCTTGTTAAAATTACATAATCTATGTCTAGATGATTGTCAGTGCAGTTGTAGACATTCTTCTGAATAATACAGAAAAAACACATATGAACACACAAATCTGGTATACAAAATCAAATATGATAATTATTCTGTTTGGAGATAAATACGATAAAAAATAATTCAAATTTCACATCGTTCAAATGTTACCATCAGTTATCTAGTTTAAGTTAGAACAAATAATTGCTTAGTCAATAATTGGTTTTTCAGGGTGGGTCATATTGATAGGACACATTTCAAATGCATATGTGGAGCATGTAGGAAGCAACACTGATTACCAAATACATGGAAACGCTGCTTAAGGATGAGAGTTTTGCAATGTGTACAGTGTTTCAATATTGCATCCTTGAGATGTGCACCCCTTTGACAGGAACATTCTTTGGCTCTAACAGTCATATTCAGCATAATTTAGCACAGGGTTTTGGCTGAGATGGCCGCTATCTCCCTTTGGATGATGTCCTTCTGTTCACTGATGGTCGTGGGCAATGAAAGAAAGGTAACAGTAACTCCCTTCCTGTCAAGCTATATCTAAAACATGCACGCCAATTATTGCTCGCAGTAATATAAATATGTCCTACCCTGTACTTTTCAGTTAGTTAGTTTGTCAACAAATCCTCATTGCACATGAAAGCAATCAGTCCATAGGTGCTTGGATACCCTCATCAGTAAATACTGCAGTTTGTAGTGGTTAATATTAAACCTTTCAGTTGTTAATGTGAATTCATAAATAACAGAACATATCGTTCAAGCCTATCATTTTTTCTGTCCATTTTGGAAAATATAAACATCTCTACTTCTGTTAACTCTTTTGCCCTGCGAATGCTTAAAAAATGGGTCATGAGACTGTAGAAATTCCCAAAAGAAATCCCTGCCAGTTAGTACATTACTGAGCTTGGCTCAGTTTACCCTCTGAGTTTGGCTCAATTTACCCTCTAAAGCTAGTATATTTTCAGTCCAATGTTGACTGACTACTGGCCTACACAGATGCATCTACTGAAAGCAATGTAAGAATCGAGAGCTCTCAGTAATTAGCATCCAGAGAATCAGACTTTGTTAGTGCAGACAATATTTTTTTTTCTTACAAGGGTGGTTGGCACATTCAATTGTGGTTTAGATCTAGGCAGCAAATATCTGTGCCTTTCTGCCCAACACATTTAACTTTATCAGGCCCCTATTTAGTAGCCTTTTACACCTGCTTGTTATGTGGTTGGTAAACTACTGAACGTAAAATTGCCTACTGAAATCACAAACAGCAAAAAAAAAAAAAAAATGCTCGGTTGGTTCTGTAATGTCCTGTAAATGATATGCAACTAAATTATTTTGCTAAGGTGGCAGTGGTTTTTTTTTTTGTAAATCACCAGAATTGGCCCAAGAAAACAGAGAGAGCAGATAATACTGAAGATATTAACTCAATAACTGTAGAGAACTACAAGGAGTAAGACAAAGAACAGGCTTTGTAAAACTGGTAACAGGAATGTTTCTAGAAACAAAAAAAACAACAACAAAAATAGCTGGCCACCCAGACTTGACATCACTGCACTCTGGACATTCCCACATGTGCTCCATCCACTTCTTCAGTAGCCAATGAAAAGTTGATATGTTAATAGTACCAGTAAATGCTGGTCACCCAATTCCATAATGCAATGATCTAGAATATTGAATGCCCAATCATTCACAAATCTACATATAAATGCTGGTCACCCAATTCCATAATGCAATGATCTAGAATATTGAACGCCCAATCATTCACAAATCTACATATAAATGCTGGTCACCCAATTCCATAATGCAATGATCTAGAATATTGAATGCCCAATCATTCACAAATCTACATATAAATGCTGGTCACCCAATTCCATAATGCAATGATCTAGAATATTAAATGCCCAATCATTCACAATCTACATAAATTTATACTGTGGGGTTACATAAGCGTTAAATAAACTTTTTCGTATTTTCTAAGGAACAAGATTGGACCACTAAAAATTAGAACATTACTACAAACATAAGTGTGGAAGTAAAGTAAGTCTTTTTTCTTTTTCTGATTTTCTTCTTCTTAGCATTTACCAGCTTCATCTTCCATGCAAAGGTATGGTCGTTCATACACTTCTGACTTCAGACTTGTTCAAGAATTTGAATTGTATGTGGGCATCCTTCTTTACAGATCTTCTTAATTAGATGCAAACTGCAGGTTCTTCATCTCTCTGGCTTCAGAGGAAAGAATCTTAGTTAGTCGCCTTTGAAAACATACTTGACAGGTAGGCAGTGGTTCTATTGTTTCCCCCCACCCAAAATGGAGTCCTGAAACCAACATGGGAAAGTGAAGTAAAGATCCCTTGTAATGCCAGTGGCACAACTGGCATATGAGACTAGACTCGTATGTTTATAGAACAATGGGTCGACCTGGAAGGAAAGGTAATTTTTTAAAAGATTCAAACCCAAGACCTTTGGACTAGCAGGTGGAGTATAATATTAATGTGTAAACATGATAAATAGGTATATAAAGGTATAGTCGGGAGATGTGAACCAGCATCATTGCACACGGTTATAAACCATAAGTGCTCTGCTGCCAGTACGGACAGCTGATTAGAAACTGTCTGCCTGTGTCGCCATCTGCACACAACTCCATAGCTACAGCGACGTTCCTTCATTTACCCCAGAGTGTCAACTCTGGTTCCCATTACCCAGAGGCTGGGTGAACCCCGGGAACTGCCCAGGTTACAAACACTGGCCTTCGGCTGCAGCCAGTCGCAGCTGGATTTGAAAGCGAGTTTCCTATCGACTGGGCTAACACGGTCCCCAAAAACATGATAAATAAAATGTAAAAGTCACCCAAGAACAGTCTGAGTAAAACCTCACCATCAAAAGTTGCCATGCGGTATTTAATGCAGTATTATTGACTCCATACCTCTGCTGGGCAAATGACACAACCCTGAAGACATAGTTTACAATGTATTATCATCATCATCATCAACCACTTCTGCCCTTAAGTGTCATGGAGAGGAATAATTTACGATCCAGTGCTGCCACTGGCTATTGTTTACAATGTATGAGATTAACAAATGCAATCCCTTCGATTCGTTTATTTATAGGCCAAACAGGTCAACAGGGATTCCCGTTCTTGTGCAAGAATGAAGTCCCTCTGTGTTCACAGTTTTGACAAGGAGATGTATACACAAATTAAACTACAGTTTCATAAATTTTCGACATATTTTATAGAACTGTACATCATTTTTAAGGTAAATAAGTGTGCTATTTAAATATAACAATAAAGGCTCTTACAGACAAACAAAAATGCTTTTGCTACAGTCAACATGAACATAAACATCAATAACGTTTGGATATTAACTGAAAGTTATTCCAGCAAAAGTGAAGAAATATCTGGGGGGGGGGGGGGGGGGGGGGGGAGGGGGTGACATTTGTAAGCATATTAAAATGTCACACAATGCAACATAGAAACACTTCCAGTAACCAATTTTCAAGGGGACTCCGCCAAAATGTACCCTGATTTAGTCGGTAGGCATTGATTTTGATATAAATGCTTAATGTACAGATAAAAGAATCATTTCATGCCTTTGTTGCACCAAGCACACAGACCTAGATCTATATTTTAAAAGACCAATTGGCACTCGACGGATGATGTCGTCAACAATACACCTGCGATCTTTACTTTAAAGCAGGGCCATCTTAATGGATAGGCCCGCTGGGCAATTTCGAGTTTATGGGCCCTATGCTGATCTTTAAATGTCAAGTGACATGTCATATAGGAAGTTCATAGTAATTTCATACTCTGCCATCTAATCTGTGTTTATGTTTTAACGCCAGTTTTTGTTTAAGTGCCACTAAATTAAATAATAAAAACTATGTTTAACATTAACAATCATTTAAATGTAATTCCTTTGAGTGGTTGTTGTATGGCCCCAGCACCCTGGTTTGCCCAGGGGCCTATACTGCCATTAAATCAGCTCTGCTTCAGAGGACATTACCTGGTGCCCATTTTAGGCTGGGTCTACCTGGGATGATATAATTCGAATAATTCTAAACTATGAAAAAATGGGAGAAATTATTTATTAAAGCAATTATATATATATATATATATCTACTATTCAATTTTTGTTTAAAAGGGTTTTTTTTAAAAAGGGAAACTGAATGGAATATAATTTTGATATTCAAAATCTTTTTAATTTAATGAGTGAAACTGTTTAAACTGCTCACAAGAATACTTTAGCCTCAAACAATCAGGTGACAGTTTTTTTTTTTTTTTAATCTGGTTCCTTTAGATGTACTATCTTTCTCTTCACTTCATAAACAAATTTGCCATCTGATAACTCCAAGTGAACAGTATTTTTTTTTTAAAGTATATTTCAGGTTCAGATTTCTTCAAATCAGTGCGGGGAAAAGGGGGGGGGGGAGACTATATGACCTACCACTGTTGAACATCTCTGGGTGCCGTTCTCCAGGCGTTCTCGGTCATAAACTCATAAATGACCTCGTTCTGATGGATTCCCTCTGGTGCCAGACCTATTCCAATCATTGTAGAGTTGGGGAATGCTCGTGCAATGAATGGTCCCTGGAGCAAAGAACACACCATTTCGTAAATAATTTGCTTACAAAACGTCGACATTTCTGAAATGTTACAGCTGAAGGTAAAATAATACATGAAAACAAAATATCACTGCAGAAAATTAAATTGTAAAATCTTCATAGAAAGATAAGCTGACAACAATAAAGAAGATAACAGGACAACATGACACCCCTGTAACTTAGACTAGCATGTGTGAAAGGTCAGCAACCCCAGTGATGCCGAGTTGGGGTGAAAAACTTTACAAGTTCCATGATGCCATTATAGTTTGGTTTTTTCTTCGCTCCCTTTCATGTCCATATACAAAGACAATTTTCAGAATGTCCTGAGAAAATTCATAGAAGGAAATGTGAAAAAGAGACCCGAGCATTTTAACTCATTATCTAATTGCTAAGACTATGTGAAGCCTAACAATTTACGCCAAAGGAACCAGTTCTACCATTTGTATCTATCCGTGCCCTTGCATCATAAAAACTGAGTCTAGACAGCCTCTTTAGGATCCAACATTCTGAAGTATGATACAATTTAACCTTGTGGCATTAAGAAGCCACAAAACTAATACTTCTGGGAGGTCCAATTCCCTGTAAATGTCACTTTTCCAACTTGTCTACAGTAAAATACTTATGAGACATATAATTAATGCTACTGGCTGTCTTCACCTGCGCAAACATTTAAGAGGTTGTTGTATTAATATATTATCTACATATAGCACTTAGGGGTGTTTTCCGATGAACCAACTAGCCTTTTTTTTTTTTTAGTCTCCAGGGAATTTTTTCACTCTGTTGAATGTTGAATTATGAATCAACTTCACAGCACTCGGGACACTCACATAAGCGCTCCATTCTCATCTTTAGCAGCAAGCAAAGAGTTCCAATTCCAATGGTACCAGTAACTGTCTGATTGTACATCCGTTTCCCCTTTCCCTTAAGTGTTGAGCATCGGCCAGATCCTCTGGTAACTCCCCGCAGTGCCATTTTCCTCAGACCCTAATAATTTATTTGTGCCTCTGCACTCTTCACTGGCTCCCAAAGGGTGCCCACAATATCTAGCTTGTCATAGATCACCTGGAGAAAATATTCAAAGGACGCTAAGTACCCGGTACCTCTGAAGTGATGCTTGCCTGTTTTTCACTCATGTTTATTAATTATTTACTTTACATATCTTTATATATTTTGAAGAAAAAAATGTTAATAAATTATCTTGCATTAATTTGTGATCTTTGTAAAAATTTTGTTTTAACTGTTTCTCTGGAGAATTACCACATGAATCATGGCCCAACTTTTAAGTGTTCCTGTCGCAACTGAGTTTTTTAAAAAAATGTATTTGTAAATGCCTGAAAACAACATAACTAGAATCTTCTTGCACAAGAGCCCACAAGGTCAAAGAAATAAAGGCAGACAAAAGAAAGAACACATAGAGAAAAGAACTAGAATGAAGTGGGGAAAAAAGAGGACATAGGGTGAACTGGACACAAAAGCAAAGGATCAGACAATTAGCTGGTTGAGGGCCTATGCTCCACTGAGTGATAAAAGGCAGATGAATAAGAAGAAATGTGTTAACTGTTCTTACTCATCATGGATAGACTTTTCAAAAATCAGCCATAATACTGTGAAAAATTATGCCAAGATAATGGGGATCTTCTTCTTTTGTCAAAATCTGCTTGTGCCGCTAGGCGTCGCAGTCTATCAGATGATCGGCAACCGAGCCAGGGCGCGCTCAGTCGCTTCATATGCCGTGATGTTATGAAGTCTCAAGTTGTCCGTGACTCCTTCAATCCATCTTCTTCTTGGTCTTCCCCTGCCTCTTGGTGTTTCGATTTTCATGTTGTATGCTCTTGATGCTGGCATCGTTGGTTCCATTCTCATTAGGTGACCAAACCATTTCATTCTTTGCTTCTCAATAAATTTAACGATGGGTATGGTTCCAACAGTTCTTGTAATCACATCGTTTCTCACTCGATCTCTTCTGGTTTTATTCGCAGCCATTCTCAAACATCTCATTTCACAGCTGGTTAGTCCGATTGTTGTCGCTTGGCTAGTTTGTTTACAATGAGTGAGAGATGGCTGACCTGTTCTCGAGCCCTGATTGTTGTTACGTTTGATGGATTTTCTAATCTCGTATATTGTTTCTAGAGCAGATTTTTGTGAAATCTTAAATCCACTGCCGATTTGCTGGCCCTGACACAGATTCATCCTTAAGAGAACACTGGAAAACATGTAAATCACATAATGGGGATATTGAGTGTTAATGTTTTTATGTGTATTTTAATCAAATAGTAACCTTGTTGATGTTGTCCACAGCTCCATACAGTTCCATTGTGCCTCCAAAGTTATGAAGCATGCACCAAATAAAAGGCTGACCATAATATGATTGGACTCTCTGATAAACTGGAAGGGTTTCAGCACACAGATCAAGAATGATCATACGACCCTGCAGATAGTCAAAGTTATGTTATTCAAACTATCCAGATGCGTGCAAAGAGCATTACTTGAAACTTTCAAATTATGAGCAGAGAAATTATGGAAGGAATGAAAGGCAATTACAGTATAAAAACAAACAACTTTAATATAACTCTACAACTCTTATTAGAGCTGAAAAATTTAATCTGTTTTGTGACATGATGTTCTTCTACTTCTATTTCTCATCCTGCTGCTAATGCTTACTACTGCTGTTGCTGTTGCTGCTGCTGTTGCTGCTGCTGCTTTCATTTCTCCAGGGGTCTCCATGATAAAATGATCAAACTGTTTGCCTTGTGCTCTGATGGTCTTGGGTTTTGTTTCACGGCTCAGGAATTCGGTTCACATGGACAACTTTTATTGACATCTCTGGAGATCACTGCTGAAGCTATGGAGTTCATACTTTGTGTGATGTTCTCAGCAGGTGGCCAACCATTCTGCAGAAACAGACTGAGCTCTATATAATTAAACATAGTGCAAGTAACTTGATCATCTCACCTTTAACCTTTTTTTTAACTCTTGTCTGTGAAGTGAGCACCAGTCTTCTGTAAACTCACTCTAAACTCTGTGTAGACTTGTTCATGGCTGGTTGAATTTTGCAGCTTAAGCGTGTCCAGGATGAGGTGGGGAATCTCAAGTCAACTTTCTTCTTTTTCTTATGCCCTTTATTCTCCAGTGGAGCAGGGACCTTCAGCTAATCCCAAGTCATCCTATCATTTGTTATCGCAGGCAGCTCATCTCATGTCCTTTATTGTATTTTTAGCTTCATTTTCCAGTTCCCTTCTCAATGTGTTTTTGGTCTGCCTTTATTTCTATGCCTCTATGGATTCCAGTGTAAAGCCCTTGCATATCCTTTGCAGGATGTTGCAGAACCAACCCCAGTATTTTTTGGTTCTTTGGTTTTACAAGGCAATTATACATTCAGTAGTTTGGTATTACTACCTGAAGTATCGGCTTTCCATAAGATTGCCAAAATTAACAAAAGGTGGTCTGCTGCCAGACTGCCTTTGGCTGGAATCGAACCAAGTACCTCAGAATTAGGAAGAACATTTGCAATGCCTAAGCCACACATGTCGACCATTTGTACTCCAAATATTATAGAATGCTAAAACTCTTTCAGTCAGAAGATTGCATAGGAGATGATTAAGAGGTATAATGATTGCAATTAAAAGGTGAATCATTTATTACGTTCACTTCTTTGACTTATGTAAAACATATATTATGCTGCTCGTTGATGTTTCTAGCCAGACATCTTCAGCATTCTCAAGCCAGATATAGAAGACATATTATACCATGATCTATGTAATACACATGCATGACAAATTTGCATATATGATACACTGTTTGGAGCAAAAAAAGAGTTTAAAAGATATTAATCACTTGTCCATATTGTACTAGAACAAAAAGTCAAAAGCAAAAGGCAGGCAACAAAACATGTGGGAAGCTAACATCAAGAGATGGACAAAGGGAAATGTTAGTCTTAGTCGAGGTTTCAACTTCACTGCAGTAGGGTCACCCCATACTTGCTCCTTTCCTGTGCCAGTGCAAACCAAATGAACAGAAATCTGTCAGACTGTATAAAGAAAGGAAGAGACATAAAGTTTTACAGGTCTGCTGCAACCTTCACTATGGAGACTGTGCTGGAGTGATATAACTGAGGAAAACAAACAAGACTGGGAAGAAAAATACAAAAACAAAGTGGAAGATCACACACAAGCACATTTTTACATTTTTTTTTTTTTAAATAATTATAATAAGCAAAATCAGAATTATGAAGTGCAAAGATAAGTTATGAAGTACAGACAAGTTATGAAGCAGAAAAATAAGATTTGATTTATAAAATAGCCAGGATTCTTTTGCAATCTCTTACCAGAGGTACTGATGTTACTAATGCTTTGACTTGAGTGGGTTGCCAGAACAGATAGTCCTCAAAAAGCCAACCCTGCATCAACCTGTTGGTATTCAATAAATTGGGCATATAAGATTTTCTTATTCAAAAACAGATAAAGTCATTCTCATTGCAGATACTGTTGTTAGAGTGTGAACGTTTCAAACCCTCATATATTCTAGACCAGAGCATAATAAGATTTGGTGACCAGTTCCTTTCTTTGCTGTGTTTCCTCCCCACGCAGTTTCCACAAATTCTGGAAAAATATCTTACCTATTTTCCCATGTGGGTTTCTGGCCTCATTTTGGGAAAAAAATAAAACACTGTTTCCTAACAAGCCTGTCATAAAAGATGACTAACTAATGGTGTGTTTTTTTTTTCAAAGTCAGAGTGCATCTGCCTGAGAGGCAAGGAATCAACCATCTGCATACAAATAAGCCAGGTCTGTAATAATGATGTGCACCTGAAACTTAACTTCTGGAACAAGACAAAAGTCAAGTTTATGAACAACCTGAACTTTCCACTAAAGTTTATAGCCAGCGAACTCTAAGGAGAAGAAGTATACCCATTTTATATGGTTGAGTCATACTGGTTGAAAAAAGCCTGACACTCCTGATTTAAGTTTGAACAGTCCCAGCAAAACTACTTTGAAATAGATCAGAGTTTCAGACCTGCAAAAGAGTATCTGTATATTTCTTGACCACAGGTCAGATATTTGTGAACAGATCTCATTTATCTGTTAAACGTTTTTTTGTCTTTTTTATTCTTCTCCTATTTCATTTTCTGATAAATTGTTTAAATTAAGTAACTAATTTAATAATAATTTGCATAACAAACTTATTTATGTGAATACTTAAATAGTATAAATGAAAACATACCAAACTGATTGTGGATCACCAGCCAGCATGCCTTCAAAAACTGCTTTTCCAGCAGCACTTATATATGATGGGTCACTGTTAAAGATAACAACTGCCAAGTGACAAATTAGTTAAAAGACAGTAACTGAACCTCGGGTTCTTGTTTAACTAAATTGTTCAAAAAGAAAAATGAATCCCAAATAATAGTAAATATGTTAAACAAAACATAAATCAGACATCAAACTTAGAATATCTACTAAAGTATGTGGCATCATTGTTCCTCCTGGGTCATGACAATAGGATGGTCTTGGTTCACCATCTCACTCGATAACTCCAATCACAGACCATGTTGATATCTTTGTCCTGCACAAGCCATCTTTTTATCTTAATTTTTGCTCATCTAGTTTTCCTGATGCCACTAAATGTTTGAGTTTATTTTTACTCCTGACATGTTCAAAAAATTTATCACTGGTAAATTTACATCCTATCTTGTAAGTCTAGTCAATCACTAGCTATGCAATCCTAAATCCTCAGACTCACATACCCCTTCCCTGCCTACAGCACAAAAGTGGTAAATGTATGAGTGTATGTATGTGTAATGATGTTATAAATAGGGATAATGTCAGGGGATGATTGGCATAACTGGGGAAGTCCCTGAGAGCATGGGTTTCACGGAGATATGGTGAAACGACAGGAAAGAGTGAGTCACGTGTGAATGAGGAGATCTGGGGGATTGAGAATCAGGCGGGGATTCGGTGACTGGGCCCCAGAGAGAAAGGATGGAAAATGAAGCTGTGAATATGAATGGAGAATGACTAGAGCATGTGGATCTGAATCGGCGAGGAATGAATGATCGAGAAGGCCAGCTGTGATGGTACCCTGTTTGATTGTCAAAGCCAGCTGTGAATATGTCAACGTCTATTGTCCGAATGCTGTAAGTGGATTCACCTGTGATTTGTGTATTGAGCTAACGTGTAAATAAACTCGTGAAATGTGCCGCTGGTGTTAACCGTTGTTAGACGTTGTGTGACCATGAAGAGGATCATGTCTGCTTTGATTGAGTTGTGAACCTCTAGACCTCAGAGCCAGTGTTAACTCTGCACCACAGATAGCCAGTGTGGAGGAGACACAAAAGGGCAGTCATTACAGTATGTGTGCACAAGTGTGTATGTGTGTTTGAATCTATGTGCATATCAGTGTCTGTATGTATGAATGTATATTTAAATGTATACATTTGCCAACCATGCCTTTCCTTTTTTACTTTTTGCATTATTATAATGTTGTAAGGTATATCACTATGAACATAATATGTTCAATGGTCGAATGTGAGATAGGCCTGCGTGCCCTTTGTGACCCTTTGAAAAAAAAGTTTTTTCAATTTTTTTTATTTCATAATGGTTATTTCCTTTTGCATCATCTGTTTCTAAACTTATTAGGGTGCAAATGATATCTTCTCGTTTATGCTTATGAAATGTAACACAAAACTGTGATTTATCTTGCACTGCCTCTTGGCTGAGAATGTCACTAACTATAAATTTGATTAATATACATTCAGACTTAGAATGCTTACAGTTTTTAAACTAGGAATGTTTTCATTGTGGGTTCTGGAGGGGGGGGGGGGGGGGGAAGAGAGAAAAGACCCACTGCCCTCCAAACAAGCATGTCATAAAAGGCTACTAATATGGGGGTCTTTCTTTTGAAGTCAGAGTACATCCGCCTGAGTGGCACCGAAGCAACATTCTGCATTCAAATTAGTTATATCTGTAAAATATATTTACATATAAAACTTAAGTTCAAGAACAAAAGTCTAGAAGTAAACAAGCAATTCCGAGTTTCCACCTGAATTTACAGCCAGGGAACACAAAGAAGAAGAAGAAGAAGAAGAAGAAGAAGAAGAAACTTGGAAAGTTGCTTTAATAGTTTTTGAATAAGAATATATATTTTAATTATTTTTAATGCTTCATCAACCTGATCTGACACAGCATAGCAAAAAGTAACAAACAAATGGACTTTGTTAAGCTTCGTTAAAAATAATTCAAGATAAATTACTTGAATAATCTATACTGAATAATTGAAACAAATTTTTTTTTTTTTTTTTTTTTCTTACTTGGATACAGGATTCATTTCATTGAAAGTGTCACAGTTATAGACATGATCTGTCCCAAACTCTTCTGTCATCTGGGTTTCAAATTAAAAACAAATAAATGAAGCAGCACAGTGAAAACTAAGAAAACTAAGCTAGACTGCAGAGAAATAGCTATTTTTCTATTTTCTGTATTTGCAACATTTTTTTTTAATGTATTTTTCTTCTTCTTCTTTGTTCATCCAAATGACGTAAATGTGTTGTACCTGTTTACAGCGTAGCCGTGATATTTGCACCTTTCAGCCAACACATCTGTCTTCTTTAGGCATTTGTTGTGCAGGTTAGCCTTCCCAGTTTTTAATATAAAATATTCTTGGATGGATGCTTTTGTTCTTTTGGAAACATTTTACATTTATATTTAGATTATTGTTGTTATTATGTGTTTGTAAACCCTGTGGAAGAGTATTAACTGTTAAGCTTGATGTACTGTTGTTCAAGCCCTTTAATATATAGCTTGAATGTAGAATCAATACTGTTTTACTGACTAGAAACATGAAGAATGATGTAAACAATAAAAAAATAACTATTGTATAAAAACTTTCATTAACTGGTGCCATGGCAGAAAAGAAGGGCTATAATATTATGACAGAATAATTATGATGAGTATTAAATTCCAGTGACTCGAGAGATGAAGAAAAGATGCCAGCAAAAGATAGGACACACATTGTGAAAACCTTTAATTAAATAGAAAGTGCTTTCCTAGAATTCACAGGAGAAAGGAGACGGAGATGTAAAAACACACAATGAAGAGAATTACAGACATGAATGAGAGGGAGACAAAGTTTACAAAAGCACAGAAGGCTTTGGCATGAGCTGGTTGAGGGCCTATGCACCACTGAAAACTCCAAAAAATAAAATTTGCAATGGTCCATTTTTGGACCCGAAAAAAATTATTCATTGTAGGTGGAATTGGTCAGATTTGTTGTCTGCATTTATTTCTTTATTTTGCAAATCGATATACTAGTTGCATATTATTATTTTATTTGAAAGATATTTTATTTACCTCATGTTATGATAAATTTTCCTGCAATCGGTGAGATCTTCAACTTTGAGTTTGTTGTTGTTGTGTATAGTTAGAAATTAGGGCTAAAACAGAAATTATGGTCATCTTTGGTAGCAAAAAAATATCCACATGTAACATCCAGGTAACTGGGAAAATTTTTTTTAATGTGTGAATCCTTAAAAATACCTTGAACAGTCATATAACTAATTAAAAACATCTTGTAGAAATTACAAGAACTACTGTAGCAAAGTAACCTTTCGCAAGATGGGAAGATACTCAACAATAAAAAGTTGCCAACTGCAGTAAGAAAAGCATGGTACTGAAGTAAGTAAAGTAAAAAAGTAAAGATCCCTTTACATGCCCTTAGGCACATCGGGCATATGGGAAGAGCACCCATATTTTTACAGACCAATCGGCACTTGGTGGGTAATGTGGTCAGCATTACGCCAGCCGTCTTTACTTTCCCAGGACAGCCCATCCTGGTACCCATTTGAGGCTGGGTCGACCTGTGACGTCCCATACCACGATAAAAATCCACGCAGCCCACGTAGGTTTCGATCGCGGTACGTTGGATTACGAGTCAGACTCGCAACGCCTTAGCCACGTACTGAAGTGCTGTATAGTAAATATATAATTGTATGCAGGTGTTTTGTTTTCTAGATAAAAATGTGTCAATAGTCACCAAAAATTTGTTTTTAACAAAGATGCCAATAATCCCTAAAAAGTGTCTATCACAGTAATGCTGAAAAAATGATGCCTGTAAAAAAAAAGGTGTTATTACTGCGTACTGCCAGAAAAAACCCACCTTAATTGTTTATATCTGAAGCAAGGTCAATAAACAGTCAAGCAGACAGAAATTAAATGGCAATAGAAATGTGGTTACTGAGTAAATACAAATATAATTCAATGGACAGACAGGATAAGGATTAAAGCAGTCTTTCAAGATATAAACACAATCAACTGATTAGAGACTAGACAGTAGTAAAGAAAGAAGACAAAACCAAAAATCAACTGACAAAAGCAAAAGCAAAACAGATCTCAAGTACAAATGAAGCTTACCAAGAAATTAATCAAAGGATATCAATTTTTTTTTTTTTTTTTACTCATCTTCCTCACCCTAAATAAATGAATAAATAAGTAGACATTTTGAGTATATTATAGACCCAAAAATTCAGGAATTTAAGTCTGCAATTTTCAGCTAATTTCAATACAATAAATTTACACAGGACAAGAAATAAATATGTTTGGTAAAGACAATATTATTTTAAATTCAAAGGAAGTATGAAATTTGGTGAATGAATATCTTGACTTACAATTTCAATAAATAACTGTCCAATCCCAATGAACAATGGATCCTGAAATTCTAGGAGATAAGTTCTGAAAGCAAATGAAACAATTAAAGACCCGAATCACAAAGATATATGTAATAGTTCAATAAATTAACATATTGAGAATTATTTTTTTTTTGTCTGTCAGTAGTAAAATACTTGAACACTAGCAAATGTACATTGAAAACAATCTGTTTTATCAGTTTACACAATTTTATTAAAAATCAATCAGCTTAAGTAAACATAAAAAACAAATCAAGCAATCCTTTAAGAAATAGATGAAAACCTCAAACTCATTAAAGAAATTAAGCATAATCAATCAAGATATTTTGGGGAAATAGAATTGAAAACAGTCACAGCTGTCAAACTAGATGGAAAGAGAGCAAAGGAAGAGCAATGAGGTAAATACCTGGCCGAATAGACCACAAGCACACACACACAAAAGATCAAGAAAACAGACCTGATTCAAGATATGTATATAAAGAAGAACACTGACTAGCACATATATCTCCTAGCCTGATCATGGATTGAAATATCTGCCAATACTGAGGAGTTCTTTACATGGTCATTTGACTCTTTGGTTGGCAAAACTTCATAAAAATGAATATCAGAACGTTTTGTTGTACTGTGCTAACATCCTCCATCAAGTACCAAGTGGTCTCATAATAAAGGTAATTTTAGTCATAGTTATTTTATTTAAGTTATTATTTAGTTTGCAGTTCAGAAGTTTGTTAACTTTTATGATAAATTAATATATACAATTTGAATACTTGCCCTGAATATGTTGTGTTAAATGTATTCCAAGCTGGCAAACGTGTGACATTGGCATCAGGGAAAACTCTTAATGTAAATGAAACAAAAAAATTGTTAACAGTCCCTCTTAACAGAATATTTACTAATTGAAACAAAAAAATTGTTAACAGTCCCTCTTAACAGAATATTTACTAATTTGCATATGTCAGCTAAAATAGCTAATTAAATGTAGTATGAAATTCATGATAATCTGTACGTAATCTACTGTCTGTCTTGTGTATTTGTTTATTCTGATTCATATTTGTATTTTATTCATTTGATCCTAACATTGTTTTGAAGACTATATAAACAGACAAGTTACAAAGTTCAAGAAGACAACATATAAGATCATATATTATTAGAATTAGACGTTTGAAATAAGAATGGCATTTGATTTCAATATGAGTGAATGTGTTAGTCTCATTGACCATTTTCAACTTTTGTGAAAGGTTAGTACTGGTAATTTTTTTCATGCTTTTCTTCCTGCAATCTTTGTGCTTTTTCTTTTTATTGCATATAAACAGGCTTCTTTTATGTGTATGTGTGTGTGTGTGTGGTGTGTTATTTGGTGTGCTGTAATGAATACTGTGTGTTGTACTGTGGTCTGTTGTGTTGTGCTGTGGTGTGTGTGTATGTGGAGGGGGGGGGGGGTTGTAAATCGTCTGCTTTGACCGCACAGCCATTACTTCTCATATATTCTGAGACTGACTTTCCTTTAAGTGTTTTTTTTTTACATTTTATTTCCCATTATATTTGTATGTCCTTCTATGTGCTACTTTGTGTTTTATTTGGTATTTTCTATCACCATTTTGTGACAGGCTTGTCAAAACTTGCCATTTTTTTAAATTTTGAAAACGGTTTCAGCTGTCTTTCTACTGTTATGCTGTTGCAATTTTTTTTTTTTTACCTTTCTTTCTTTACAACATTCTGTAAGGCCAGGAGCCATGACAAGCTGGGCAAGCAAAAGCCAAATCATCCTGACTCCACTGGACATCCAAAGGTGCCAAAGAGTCACAACATTAAGATGTCACTAAGGAAATGTGAACTAAACTAGAATCAAGTTGCATAGAATTCTGCTGATATGGTTTCAGGAATAGGTTTTTATATTCTGCCTAACCCCACCACAAAAGGACAAAAAAGACACTGAGTCAGATTTTTTATTTTTTTATTATTGACTTGGCACCCATTTCGACCAAGCCAAAAATTAGTACCAAGTAAAGTACTGAGAAATAAAGGTGACCAATGTAATGCTGATGATATCACAGACTGAGTGGTCACTGAATCTATAACAAACAAATGAGTCTAGCATCACATGAGTTGTCATGGGTGTAAAATGGGTCCTCTGCTTTAAGAGTGTAAATAATATTATAAGTATGAAGTGAAATATTTCTTGGTATACATAAACAATGGGGAGTCGCCGTGGCGTGCTCATGTGCTGATCGGAAGGTCGTGGTTTCGCTCCCTGGCAAAGCCAGACTTTTTTCAAAAATGCCTTGAGTGGGTACCAGGTGCAGTCCCGGGAAGTACAGGCAGCCAGCGTGATGCTGACCACATCACCCATCTTGTGCCGATTGGTCTAAAAAAATATAGGTCTGACCCTATATACCTAAAGGCGTGGTAAAGGGACCTTCACTTTACTTTTATACATAAACAATTGTCAAAATGTACATTCACCTAGTAAGAGCCCTTGGTACATGCCCAGAAAAAGCAGGTAGCACTGGAATCATACCCAGAGAGCGCATGCGATTGAGTATCTTCTGCTGGAGCAACATTTTATTAGCAATCCATGTCTGAGGCAACGGACCTCCCCAGTGCTCAATATTACCCATCCGTGCCCTAAAATGTTTATAACATACTAGTGATCAACCATATAACAATTTCCACCACCTGCAATTTAAAAATAAAAAAATGAGATAAGAGTAAACTATGTATATTTTGTTCATATATTTTTCCTGTGTGGGTTCTGGGGTTGTATTCTGGAGGAAACAAGAATAGGCGCACTGCTCCTTAGCAAGCTGGTCATAAAAGGCAACTAATAAAGGATTTGCTGAAATCAAATATGTTGGGAAAAGGCACAGATGTTATAGACTAGCTGTAAACCACAATATAGAAACTGTCTTTTAAGGGCAAACAAAGAAAAAGAAATAATACTTTCTTTACTTATATTGACCCTATCCAGGGATCAAATGGTTCCACAGATTTTCATCCTGTCATCTTTATTTAGGCACTGTGTGACACAAGAGGGCAGATTTTACTCAACAATTACAATATAAACTATTAGTATGGTGCTAATATGTCATAGTGAGTGGAATTACATTTAACCTTGCAATATCTAATCCTTTTTTTTTTTTTTTAGCATCTACTGTAGAAAAACCTCTGACAACAAATTGGAAGATAACCAAAATAAAAATGATGGACAAACTGCAGTCATTTGGATTGTTTAAGAAAAAATATATCAAAAGTGTTGGGGGATCATCAGCCACTAACTTTTGTTGCGAAGACAGCACTTGATTTATGTGACTTTAAAAAAAAACATCTCACAATAGATATGATTTAATACATAATATTGCCAGGCTCGCTAGCTCAGTTGGTTAACACTGCACGGCTGCTGGGTGACAAACTCCTTGTGGTCCAGGTTCATGCTCGAGGGTAGGCACATTTCTCCCAGATTTACGGCATCTATCATGGAATCAAGACCGAAGGGTTGGGATATCCACAGTACCAAGCCAAAGGGTTAACAACTCATGGTTTCTGGCTATTAAAAAAACAAATACATGATATTCATTGTCAAAAATAAAAAATACACTTCCACTGGAAATAACATAAAAAGTCATTAGGTCACTATCATTGTCATCATCATCCTGATGTGCTGTCATACGAGGCCCATAGTCTGTTCTTCCACTTCTATCAATCCTGTACGCTTGTGTCAATATTATCGATATCATGGATGGAATCCACTTCCAGCACCTTTGGTCTCTCTCTTTAAAATTTGTCTTAGGATTTCTTTTGGGTATCCTCATCTCCTCGGTCCATTTGTTTCCCATTCAAGTACCTTCTGGTAATTCCCTGTCCGCTTCTCCTCAGGACACAGCCAATATATTGCTATCTTCTTTGTTTATTAAGTGTTGATTAAAGAGGTTGTCTAGACATTTCTCTTATTTCTTCACCTATACTGAATTCAATGGAACATGTTGTGACCACTGGAAAGATCTGTGAAGGGAGGGATAGAGGAAGACAGCGAGAGAGGATTCTTGACAGAATGTTGCATGGCATGGAGGTGTGTTAACACACGAACTGATACATGCTGCTGGAGATCGCAGATTGTGGAGAGGCATGATCGACCATGCCAGTCAGCAAAACACCTCATGATGATGATAATGATACTGAATTCATCCCATGTTCATCATTTCCTCACGCATTTGTTTTCAAACAAGTTTAACTCTCATTCCATGTCTTTAGTGGTTATCCGCCCTTTACAAATATATTGTAGCAGAGTTATTAAGTCATAGCTTATTTATTAGAAGGCACAAAGTTATGAGGGGATGAAAATCAACAAGTTGTGGCAGCCTTGACATTCCCTTTTCCAGAATCTTCTTTTCTCGCCAAAACAAGCTATTGACATCAAACTGATGTTGTCTGGCCTTGGCCTTCTTTCTAGAAGTTTTAAAATGCATTCTTTTCATCATGTGACCCAACCTTGTCGTACTAGTGAATACCTTGTTGACGTGCCCTATTAAAGCAAACGCAGTTGCACTTGTTTTCCTAGAAGCTTCTATTGATGTCAGTTGTCAGTTTAACTACTATATCTGCGTAGAATAGGATGATGAAATCTGATGCAATCGAGACATAATTAGCAAATCCCACATGAGAACCTACCTAGTAAACAAGACGTACTAGAATATTCTAGAAGCAGACAAAGCGAGAAGAAAACAAATATCTAGCATTCCAGCATCCAAGTATAAATAGCGAGTAACAAAGCACTTTAGCAATTCTTCAGTCCACAAGACTCAAGAGAGGAGAGGCCAGTCACATGGGCTCCCAAGACAGCCTTCAGTGGTAGAGATGTAAGCCCAACACTAGAAGCCTTCAGTCGTTGAGACTCAGAGGACGAGCGACTAGTCTCAATGATCCTTGATGCCAGCTCAACGCTGGAAGCAGAGCAGCCGCTCATATTGAACATCGAAGACATGAAACGAGACATCAAGCTACAGAGACGACACACAGGATACATGGATCCATGGTTAACAGAGACACATTAGGAACACTATAGAGTCGACGATCACGCCATTAGTACCAAACAGCACTAGAAGCCAGGTGGCAGTTACAGACACTAGAATCAGTTAACAAAGTAACTACAAATAAAGAACACAACGCGACCTCAAGAGTAAGAATACAACGCGAACCTACGAGTATTTAGCCTTAGAGAGAACACAGCGCCATTCAGAATATTATTGATGTATTTGTGTCATTGCTAAAGTATCACAATAAAGACAGTACAGACAAGAAGAGTTGTTTCCAGGCGTTTTGTATACAAGCATCAGAGTCACATGAGAAGCATGCAGATAGCAAGACATCATCCTCATCATCGCCACTATCGACACGACCATCTTTCTCCTTGTCTATAATCTTCTAATCGACTCCTCCTGTAGCAAAACCTAAAGACGAACCTGGGTGTGACAACGACAAACGCAACGAACAATAGAGCTGTGCTACAATATGTTAAAACTAAAATAATAATAGAATTGCAAATTTTCAACTTAGCTTTAAAACTATAAAATTTACAGCTCTATACTTAAAAAAAAAAGGAAAGGAACCTTGTGCAAACCTTGCGACGTACTGGACATATAGGGTTAGACCTATATTATATAAACCAATGGGTACTCAGCAGGTCATGCCATCAACATCACGCTGGCTGCCTTTACTTCCTAGGACTGTACCTGGTACCCATTTAATGTTGCGTCGACCTGGGAGCCAAGGTCATTTTTAAGAAAAGTCCAGTTTTGTCAGAACCCAAACCCTCGACCTTCCGATCTGCAGCCAAGTGTCTAGCTACTACACCACAGTTGGTTCTATACTTACCAAGCTAAAAATGCTGGCCCTGTAAAATATTCATCCAAGTCTGCTTGTGTCAAACCCAGGGTTAAGAACACCTGATGTGAAGAAAATGACACCCACTTTTGAATTTTTAAAATCTAGCTATAAAATATTTCATTCTTGAAAACTTTACAAATTACTATCAAAGTTTAACTCTGAGTCCTGAATACTACTTTAACATACACTATTCAAAGTTATTATTGCTTTTATAAATGTCTGGATGTAAAGGAGTTATTTGTAATAACAATATGACAGTGCAAGATTTAAAGCAATAATTGGGGCAGACTGGGATAACATAACTGCTAGGCAGAGGGCATACAGCAGTTTAATGTCAACGGCACAGTTAACAAGAAAGTGATGAACATTTCTGAGGTAAAATATACACTGTCTAGTAGTACTAGAAGTAGTAGTAGCAGCAGCAGCAACGGCAGCAGTGGCAGTAGCAGCAGCAGTAGTAGTAGTTTAAATAATGATATATTGCTCAACCCATCAGGGTTATAATGTGGAAAGTCAGTTGTTGCTTTTTTTTATTTTTTTTTTATTTCAGTATTAGGTACTTATGCCTGTCAATTACTTTTGGTAACTTAATATTACATAGATTATGTATTAACTGTAAATTATTGTAGCAGTATAGATTGTTAAGTTTAATATATTTTAATTGTACTTTTTAAATAATTATGATAATCCTATTGTGTTGTCTAGCTGTACGAATATTCAAAGTTATCTGGCATACCATTATTCTGTCTTAAGATATATTAACACCGTTTATGAAAGCTGTGTTGCATACCTTCTGAAAGATGGCTTCCTGACCAACAAATGCAAGTGGTAAATTAATTCCGTGCAAAGCCATCCAATCAATTTCCTGCTCCCATCGTGTCCAGTTCCAGAAAGCCATTGTGTAACTCTGGGAACAGACATTCTGGTAGTAGCGGAACCTACAGAGAGCATCACACTTTATTCAGTAATTATAATTTTTTTTTTTTTTTGAGGAAGTATTTAGCGAGTAAGAACAAACTAAAATATTTCTTTAATTATTCAGGAAATTAAGTCATCCAAGAACATATATGATGAGTGTGATAAGAAAGACCTAAGTAAAAAAATAAATTTTACCCAACTAGGACATCACACAGAGCAATAAACAGCCGGTGACACAAAATGCTACCTTGCGGATGAGTGTCACCCAGAGAGGTCCTAGAAACTGTGTTCAGCCTTGAGGCTAAACTGCGGCCCCCTGGCAAAAGCTGGAGAGGGGGGGGGGCTTAAAAAAAAGAAAAATTTTGTCCCACCTGGGGATGACGTTAGTTAACAATAATAAGAAAGACATGCTGGATTAAATTCTATCTATATGTACCCTGTGCATTCATATAAGCTTCTCAATCAACTCACATCAAGTCATCCTATCCCCTACCATCAAATGTAGCTCCCATCATGGACCCCCCCCCCCCCCTTTCTCTATTTATCGTAGATTTTTTTTTAACTTTCACTAGAGTTATATCCATATGAAAATTTCCCCATATCACTTCCCTTGAAAGTTTTTTTTTTAAATTATTATATTTCTTTGCTATCTTTCTTGAAACCACATTCCTGTATGTGTCAGAGACAATACATTTGTCTGTCTCCCAAATCGTTAAATATTGGCATAAGCATCACATCTGATGCCTCAGATGCACTTAGGAATAATGACTAAAGATACGGCAGCGGTAGAGACAAAGATGAAGTAGAAGATGAGATATTAAATATAGGGTTTTAGTTAGACCCCTATTTCTACTAGGCCTACATACAGGGCAGCGGTGGAGATCAAGATGAGGTAGAGGACGGGAGAATAAGACTTTCTTTCACTAACCCAGGTGAAGCCGGGCAATGAAATCTAGTAGTCTTATAAAATGAAAAATACAGCCTACTTGTCATTTGTAGTGATTTTCATTGGACTGTTGATAACAGGCAGGATTTCCGGCAACTGTGTCTGCTGTCCTGCCCAGGTCCGTTGTCCACTGCAGAAGTACTTGAGGTAATAGTAGAAACCCATGGCTACAGCAACACCCGTGGTTCCAGTAATCTGGATATGTCCATTAGCAGCAGAGCTCAGCTACAAGAACAAATGATATCACTTAACATGGGAACTCTGCATGAGCACTATTTTAAAGGTCTCAGAAAACTATGCATGTAAAAGTTAAATAATTATATGTGTATATGTACATATGTGTATATGTACACATGTGTACGAACATTTGACATCGAACTGAGATGAGCTGACTATGTTAAGAACCAATGTTACAGCACTTGGGACATTCCTATAAGCAGTTTGTCCCCATCTTCAGCAGCTAGTGTATGCAGTCCAGTTCTGTATCTGTAGTTATCTTATTGTATCTCCACCTAGTCGCTCATCTGAGTGTTGAGTGTCAGTCAGACGCCCTGGTCAGTTCCGTTTGTGTGACTTAGACTCGGGTGATGTAAGAGTTAAGACTGAAAAATGTAACGTATTATATGAAGTTTGTAAGGCAAGAAACCAAACAAAATGTAATGATTCTTAAGTTAATTAGCACTGAACTCCTGTACAGAATACAAGTATGCTTCAGTAAAGTGGGTTTATAGTTAGTATTATTGTGAAGGGAGCAGGGTTTTGGATCAGTGTGGGATGGAAGATATTTTTGGATGATAATTATAGGCATCCTGAGGGTAGAATTAGCAAATTATTCTTTTGATTGGACTTTTAAATATCAGCTCCAGACACATTTAATGGCTGTGAGTAATTTAGTTATGTGCCCATAGGCATCGCTACTTCACTGTGATCATTAGCACAGTAGAGATGCACAGATATGAGAGATGGAGCCTGTTGTGTGCAATCCGAAGATCCACACTACGGACAACCGATAATGAACATGAGGTATGACGAAGACACGACGTCACTTGCCGACAGAAATTTTTAGACAGATGACAGTTGCAAAAAATGTGTTAATGGCAGAGGTTGGAAACTAGGCTTAGCTGTATTCTACTTGATGCTGCAGTTGGCGGGGAGCTTAGGCTCTGTACTCTGGCTTAGAGGTGAAAGGAGTTCTTCTACTTGATGACGCAGTTGGCGGGGAGCTTAGGCTGTGTACTCTGGCTTAGAGGTGAAAGGAGTTATTCTACTTGATGCCGCAGTTGGCGGGGAGCTTAGGCTCTGTACTCTGGCTTAGAGGTGAAAGGAGTTCTTCTACTTGATGCCACAGTTGGCGGGGAGCTTAGGCTCTGTACTCTGGCTTAGAGGTGAAAGGAGTTCTTCTACTTGATGCCGCAGTTGGCGGGGAGCTTAGGCTCTGTACTCTGGCTTAGAGGTGAAAGGAGTTCTTCTACTTGATGCCGCAGTTGGCGGGGAGTTTAAGCCCATTGCTCTGCCTTAGAGGTAAAAGGAGTTATTCTAATTGATGCCGCATTTTGCGGGGAGCTTCGGCTCGTTGCTCTGGATTGGAGGAAAGTAATTAGCTAACCGTCGTTTGATACAGTGACTGTAATGTATGCATTTCATTGACGCCATTTATTTCTGTGAGGAATTGTTCAAATAAATGTCTTTGATTTGCCTGTCAACGACGTGTTTGTAGCAGTTTCAGCAGTTGACTTTGTTACGGCGTTTTTCTGCCCGCCGTTGGTCTTGGTCATTGGTTACCCCTAGAAATTAGTTTACTTAGAATTTGTACGGCATGGATCTGGGACTACACCTCACGGCCGAATTTATGAACAGAATATCATTGTACAGTAATGGAGACAAATAAGAGCCGTACAGAGCCTCTATGGGTGTGCCCAATATACAATAATGTTGATTCTCAAATCAGTAATAAGTAATCAAACACACTGATTGGCATCTAGAGAAAGTCTGGCAAACAAACCTCTGAATAGTTATGGAAGAGGTGTACAAGTGAGTGCATTCCAGCAAGAAAAGTGTGGACGGAAATTAATGCTTATGAAAAGGGGTAGGGGGAAATCATTGAGTTTTCAAGATCTAAAAAAAAATTTAAAAAAAATATAAAAAATTTCATCCGAACGGCCAGAATGCATGAGGCAAGATCTAGGTAATTAGATAATCAACTAATAAAGAAGATATTGATACTGCCTAAATTCAAGAAATTTATCGACGGAATCTGCATATTTTCATAATGCATGAAGATGAAAAATACAATCAGGACAGAGATGGACTATGAAAAAAAAAGTTCTGTCACTCCTGCCAAACTAGAAATTGTCAATAATGCAGTTTCAAAATACAAAAGTCAAGAAACAGAAATAGATGAATCCACATGCAGTACAAGACTTTTCCAACTGTCTGTATAATGCATTTTTCAACAACAAATTTGTTTGTCCTGCATATTCAAAACAATGTTTTCCCATAATGAATGTTCAAAATGCGGACACAGACACTACACTGCACACTTTATTGCAAGGTATATTTCGCTGTATCTCGTCAGGTGCGTTACTACAGAATTACATCAACATAAAATGAAGATGTCCTTGATATGGCTGACAGAAAAAACTGCTCAGTTCTTGGTCACTCAACAAGATGGCATTATAATCACTAGCCCACAAGACAATGAAGCTAAGACCTGGGAACAGATAGAAAAATAGCCCATTCCCTAACTTTGTGTTGCTGAAATCACCTATGTAGTGGTGTTTATTTCACAGAAACATGGATTTCTCTAAAAAAAATAACCACAAAATAATTTTATTAAATGAAAAACTGTACTCAACCTCAAAAGTATCACAATCTACAGGTCCGATGCTCTCATTAACCTTCACAGTAAACAAAGACGCTCGAGCTCCAATTAATCGGACAATTAACTCTTGTGCAGCCTCAGCCTGTGCTGCTGGTGAAGCCCGGGCTTTAATATGTCTCAGCTGTGGAAAATCTGGCAACAGTTCACATTTAATCAGGTCCTAGAGCAAAACAACTCAGAAAATGAACAAATATAATTTTTAATTAAATTTGAAGATGGACGCATAGTAGAAATGTATTACATTTACCAACTGTTGAATATCACCAGTAAATTTTTAAAATTTATTTATGGATGTAAGCAACAATCTATGTGTTTATTAACTCTTTCAGGACCAGCAAATCCTTTATGGATGTAAGCAACAATCTATGTGTTCATTAACTCTTTCAGGACCAGAAAATAATCTATGTCTCTGTCCTTTAAAACAACCAATGTTTCTTCTTCTCCTCCTCCTTCTTCTTCATGTTCACTGACTGTAAACTCCGGTGGAAAGCCCTGGTTGTTCGTCCACTTCTTAACGTTGGTGTTGTTCAAGGACCTAAGTATTCATGCACATCCATTTCTCAGAAGTGGCTTTTTTGGGGGGGGCAGACTTTTGGTTCCTTGCCTCTTAGGCTGATACACTTTGATCCTTTCTCTATTGACAAGGCTTTGGTTGGGAATCTGTTTCTAAGATTAACATGGATAGAAGTAGATAGATCTTGACCAGTATGGTTCCTGGTAGACCACTCTGTGTGGTTCGGCACCATTGCATCCCAGCCAATGTTTGAGTCTTACAGTGTTAAAATGGTACAATGGAATGAACAAAAAGTAGCAAAGTTACAAATTCATGATAGAACTTGTTAATGTAATCATCAACATCATGTAGCAGGTCCTTTGCAGAACGTCGCTCTCATCACAGTCTGCCTGAAAGAAACTAGGTCTCTCGCCAGTTCTCCCGCCTCATGCATTTTCACATTCAAGGAGTCACCTATATCCTGTGCCCATCTTCGTGTCGGTCGGCCTCTGCCCTTCCTTCCTGGTACCATGCCTTTTGCTTTAATTTTTTCCAATCCGTCGTGGCGCTTGATATGACCAAAATATTTCAGCTTTCGAGAAAGGATGCTGTTTATTAGCCAATCTTTCTTGATGTTCAGATCTTTTAAGAGGTCAATATTTCTCATCTTCTTTGTCCAAGATATTCTGAGAATCTTTCTATAACATTTCAGCTCAAAAGCCCCTTTTCTCTTTCTCAAGGACTGAGAGATAGTCCACGACTCACATCCGTATGTAGCCACAGGGAAGATGCATGCTCTCAAAATTCTAATTTTGATCTCCTTGCTGGTGCTTAAACATAAGACTTTTAAGGCTGTTCAATCTTTAATGTAATAGCTATCAGAAATAGAAAAAAACCAGTGCAAATAGTAACATTTAGTTTGGATGAACTAATGCACTTATGGTGAGTTGCTTGGTACAGAGAGACTTAAAATATAATTACTAGAATTACAAAGTGTGCAATATTGGTGTCTTGGTTAGTCCCCTCATCTCCCAACATTACAGTCCTAGACTCCATCATCGCCAATGGTAAGGCCACATGTGAGTCTCAGTGGCTTGGATGTTAGTGAAATCGTTTCACACTGCAATACTCAATGTTTATCAGGGTTAGATTTCCATGCTGGCAGTTTTAAAAGACTGCTTTCATGGTTCTTCGCGTTCACCAGCTGTAAACTCTGGCGTAAAGTTCTGGTAGTTAGTACAACTCTGGACTTGTCTTTTTCCAGAACCTGAGTGTTGCGTGCACATCCCTTGAACACATCCGACTTAATTATATGTAAATTGTTGGTTCCTTGCTTCTCAGGTAGATGTACTCCGACTTCGAAGAAAGCTCCCAATTAGTCGACTCTTATGACATGCTTGTTGGGGAGGCAGTGTTCTTTTCTTGTTTTCCCACTAATTGACCCTAGGACCCACACAGGAAGGCAGTGGTATGAGAGTCCCACCACTGCAGATAATGGGCCTCACTAAGTAATATTCAAATAGTTTATCAGTATATATATATATACATATATATATATATATACATATATATATATATATATATATATATATATATATATATATATATATATATATATATATATATATATATATATATAGATATTATATATATATATATATATATATATATATATATATATATATATATATATATATATATATATATATAGATATCCACATAAAGAAAGAGGTAGTGTATCTATTAAATAATGAAACAATGTATTTATTTAGTAATTAGAAAGAAGAAATTCTGACCTCTTCCAGTTACACATCCAGGAGCTGCAGTTGATAAAATTGTCAGTATAATCAAGCTCACCCCAGGATGTTTCATCTTTGGAAAAACAATAATTAAATATATGTCATAATTAAGTTTGCTTCCATCATCATTTTTGATCACATCATTAACATAATCATAAGTCGAGTCACTGCAATTATCATCTTCTCAACACAGTTATTATATTTATCACAGCCATACCTTCATCTCTCATTACTCATCCTCTTAATCATCATTTCTTTCACCACAAAAACAAATTACATAACATACACAACATGATTATTACAATTATTTAGTAGGTACACAATAAATATATTAAACTTAACAACATACACTGCTACAATTTGTACACAATCTAGGCACAATTAAAACAGCCTTAAAAGTCTATTGTTAAACACCAGCAATGAGATCAAAATTAGAATTTTGAGAGCATGCATCTTCCCGGTAGCAACATAACGGATGTGAGTCGTGGACTATCTACCAGTCCCAAAGAAAGAGAATAGGGACTTTTGAGCTGAAATGCTATAGAACGATTCTCAGAATATCTAGGACAGAGATGAGGAGAGATACTGACATCTTGAAAGATCTGAACATCAAGGAAGATTGGTTAATAAACAGCATCCTGTCTCGGAAGATTTCAAGGGCCATGACGGTTTGGAAAAAATAATAGCAGAAGGCATGGTACCGGAAAGGGGGGCGGGGGCCAACCAACACGAAGATGGGCACAGGATATAAGTAAATCCTTGAATATGAAAGTGCATGAGGCGGGAGAACTGACGAAAGATTGAGTTTCTTTCAGGCACTGTGATGAGAGGGACGTTCTACAAATGACCTGCTACATGATGATGATGAGGCACAATTGAATAACCAAATATCACTGATAAGTATTAATTAAAATCTAACATTAAAATCAGAGTAGGGTAAACTATACATCATAATTCTAACCCAGATTGACTGGACAGGATATCATTGTATGTATATATGTTACTACAACGTTTTACTACGTTTTCCACAAACATGTCCATCATTGTCCTGATGATCATCATTTTAATCACCAGAATCATCTTTTGTTTAAGCTTTAAGCTGCTCTTTTGCACCATACTAGTAGTAATTTAATCAGCAATATCCTGTTCAACCCAATCAGCCATATCCTGTTCAACCCAATCAGCAATATCCTGTTCATCAGCAATATCCTGTTTAACCCAATCAGCAATATCCTGTTCATCAGCCATATCCTGTTCAACCCAATCAGCCATATCCTGTTCAACCCAATCAGCAATATCCTGTTCTTCAGCAATATCCTGTTTAACCCAATCAGCCATATCCTTTTCAACCCAGTCAACCATATCCTGTTTAACCCAATCAGCAACATTCTGTTCAACCCATATGGGCTATAAATGGGATATGTAGCACATTTTGTGTACTATTTTAATAATGGATATTCATGTCTACCAATTATGTTTGGTTATGCAATATCGCATAACTTTGGTATTCATTGTATAAGATTGTAGGAGCTTAGATTGCCATATTCAATATGTTTTAAATATGGTTTCAAACAATTATTGTAATTATACTGTGTAGTCTATCTTTGCAGGCAATTTAAAGTGGTCTGGGATACCATTATTCTGTCTTAAGATATATTAATATCTCATATGTTAATTTCTGTTCTAGGAATATACTGGTTATTTCTTCTCTGTAGTTTTCTAGATCCATCAACTCCCATCAATGTTTTCAATTGTCATATGCTTATTGCAGACTGACTGACTGACCTTCTACCCCACTAGGACATCACACAAGCGATTAGCACCCGATGACACAAAGTGCCACCATATGGATGAGGATCGCCGTGGAGAGATACCAGAAACCGCGTTGAGACAATTGGCCATATTTATGGCCTGCCTATATTGCAGCCACCGGCAAAAGCCAGGGTGGGGCTTCAAATAACAAAAAAATTTCATCCTCAAAAGGACGAAACAGGATTAGTACGTTAACTTCTTGCAGCGTATGCCGCCGTTTCATATTTTCATTAAGGGATGTCCTTTGGAGTTCATATTTCTTGCATTAGAGTCAATAATATTCAGTATCATTGTGTACACCACATACAGAACAGGTGTCTTCTGCTTTAGAAAAAGCGGCAGTGTCACGAATTAAGGATAAATTATCTAAAGCAAATATTGATTTGAACGTGAACAACAAAACTGCAATCAAGTAGGCGTAGCTGTTGTTTTCCTCGAATCCCAGTCGTAAATTAGTGAGGTTCAAGCAAAACTATCATTTTACAATTCGTATCTGCGCAAACAAATAATTGTTACGACAAATTATACAATGCATATCAAAACTAGGCACCGGGTATTTGTTATTGTTTGTCTTACTATAACAATTTGCTCTTCTTTATTATTACCTTAGAACAGATAATCAAAACAAAGTTTCGTACTGGTTGCCGAAGCCAAACATTGTCACATGATCACTTAAAGTGTCACATGATCACTTAAAGTGTCACATGATCACTTAAAGTGTCACATGATCAGGCATACAAGTGCTGTTGAAATCTTAAATATATTTACAGTATTTATAGCTTTGCAACTTTATCACAAGAGTATTCTCTCTCTCTCTCTCTCTCTCTCTCTCTCTCTCTCTCTCTCTCTCTCTCTCTCTCTCTCTCTCTGTCTTTCTTTCTTTCTTTCTTTCTCTCCCCCCCCTCTTTCCCCCATTCCTCCCCTCTTTCTTGAGATGTAATTTTTAAAAAAGCAGTGAGCAGACAGTATTCATTGTAAAAGTACAGAAGTAAACGTCGCGTCTTAATCCTGTATCTCCCTTTCTTCTTCTTATTCTTCTTCTTCTTCTTCTTCTTCTTCTTGTCGGACACCCGTATGTTTGTTGCGCACGTTAAAAAAAAATCCCTTGGCAGTTAGAAATCGAAAAAAGTAGCACAAAGGCTCTGCCCGGGCAAAATTTCGAGTTTAAAATCTACCCAAACTATTTCAGGATACTCGCCGGTGCTAAAGGAACCCGTGCACTGCTCTTCTACTTCGGACTCAGACTTGAGTTAGAAGTATAAGGGAGCACATGGGTTACTACCCGTGTGCCATGATGTTGATGCATTGTTCAAACCTCATACATTTCTCATCATTCGAAATGTAATGAGCTCATGGGCACTTACGGCTCAGATGGGAGGGAAAGACCAAGGTGCCTTCGCCTTGACGACAAGCAGTTTGACTGGAGGTTATGACAGTCATCAAAGCAGTAGCCTGGCTTAAAACACAGACTTTAACCTGGGCATACTTTCTCAACGACTCATTGAATATGCTCAAGAAGATCGAGAAAGGTTGCATACACAGACAATGGGTGGAGACCCTAGATAGATCTAGGCTGACAAAAATCAGCTTCATATTTGTTCCGGGGTATTCTGGTGTGAAGGGCAATGAACGAGCTGATAGACTTGCAAGTGATGCACACGTGGGAAAATGACAAGCAATGGACATGACTGATATACTGAATGCCCTCAGAGAGGCAGCTCGATTGAACGAATCAAGTAATGGTTGTGAATCTGCAACACTGACGAGACTACACGAACATAACATCAAAAAGGGTGAAACCAGACACGAGCGCTTCACAGGGGCCCAAAGAAGAATAGTAAACCAGCACAGAACTGGTGTCATAAGTCACTACACGCTAAGGGAGATGCTAAAGATGGGATCTGAGCACTTATGGACTGATGTGCGATGATGATAATCTGTCGACTAACTTCTTCTTCTTCCTCTTCTTCTTCTTCTTCTTCTTCTTCTTCTTCTTCTTCTTCTTCTTCTTCTTCTTCTTCTTCTTCTTCTTCTTCTCCTCCTCCTTTTTATGCTCCTCTTCCTCCTCATCCAATCCTCTTCCTCCTCTGCTTCTTCGTCACCCCCCCCCCCCCTATGGGACATGCAACACACCTAACTGCGTACCCACACCAATGTTTTCGTATTTTTTTGGAATGGGGCGAGAGACGTCTGAGATTCCTCCTGCCGCCCCTCCCCCCCCCCCCTCTTTTTTTTTTTTTTTTTTTTTTTTTTGTTCCCCTGCCATTTGTTTGCCTAAGTGGTGATGGGGGATGGTTTTGGGGGGAAAAGGGGTATCTCAATATACTGTATTTTCTTAATTGGGAGAGGGGGGGGGGATTCGTTGTAAGGTGGAGTGGGCGGGCAGAACAATACACCCCCCCCCCCTTTTTTTTTTTTACCTCTCAATGCTTTCTTCGTGGCGGCGGGGCTGGTTAGGGGCGCTCCTTAGTCTCTTTTCTAAGATTGTGGGGCCTGGGGCGCTCAGTATGCCCGAGCTCCTATGTCTCCGCGACCGTACCCTATGTCACACATAAACGACACGAAATGATGATGATTATGAAGACCGGTACGGCGGGTGTACGGTTTTAGACTTCGTTTGCTTGTTCAGTGGTCCGCAGCAACACACGGGCGTTTTCTTGACACACTTAGGGAATAAGACCCGCTAACTTACCTCACCTTATCCGGGTGCTTCATAGGTAGAGACGGGCAGTAAGTGACTTCGGCTTGTGGCAGAGAGCTCAAATCAACACCGTGACGTGTAGCAGAATCTCAGGTCAGACAACAACTAGAATGGGCGTCGACGTCGAACATATTGAGGAAGGCGATGGTAATGTTATATATATTGTGGATATTGTGTTGTTATCTTTAGTTATTTGCAAAAATCGTGATTACCGGCCGGTGTATTTACAGAAAAACTCTAGAGAAAACTAAATTTCATTAGGTAAAGTGACATGTATTCTCAGAACAGTGTTGTTCTGTTGTTTAACCCCCCCCCCCCCACCATCCATTTAATAAGTGGATATACTGCATGTTTGTAAGTAAATAAATTTTACCCCACCAGGACATCACACAAAGCGATAAACACCCGGTGACACATAAAGCCACCATGCGGATTAGGATCACCCGTGGAGAGATCCCGGAAACCATGTTAGGTTATATTACTGCCCCTATCAACAGCCAGAGTGGGGCTTCAAAAAAACCTTTTATGCATTTGTGTTCCTTTTTTAATATGCACTTGAAATTAGTCAACGTATGTGGCTTAGGGGTTGTGCGTGCGCTTGGTAATGCCGGAGTGCTGGGTTTGATCCCAACTGCAGGCCTTGCCTTGCGTTGGTTTCGACAATGGAAGCTGACCGTCCAGAAAGCAATATCAAACTACAGGACGTAAATTTGCCTAGAAAAACCACATCATCATCAGGTGCCTTGCCGACTGGCGTGGGCGATCATGCCTCTCCATAATCCGCGATCTCCTGCAGCATGTATCAGTTCGTGTGCCGACACACCTCCATGCCATGCAACAAGACTGTCAAGCATCTTCTCTCGTTGTCTTCCTCTATCCCTCCTTCCACAGATCTTTCCAGTGGTCACAACATGTTCTATTTTCCCTCTTCTCATAAAATGGCCGAAAAATGATGACTGTCTCCTTCTGATGTCAGTGATAAGTTGTCTTCGGTCTCCCGCCTCTTTTAAAACCTCTTGGTTGCTCTTTTTGGCTGTCCAAGGTATTCTAAGCATTCTTCTGTAAAACCACATCTCTGAAGCCTCTAAAAATTGTTTGGCCTGCCTACCGATTGTCCAGGATTCACATGAAAAACCACAACAGCCATAAAATGCTAGGGTTGGCTCTGCAATGTCATGTAAAGATACGCAACTAACTAACTAGCTTGCAATTACATCAAAAATCACTTAAGGCAGAAGATTTTTATTTTATTTAAAGCATTACTGTTTTTGTTTTTTACAACTTGGCGTATTATTATTTATTTATACTGGCATCTTTCAGAAAAAAACTACCAGAACAATTCTTACACTTCTGGAGGACTGGTGGTTACACCAACCTTGTGTGGCTATTAGAGGTGCCTTAATTACAGCTTATTTTGAGATTGAACGGGGTATCTGAGGTTGATCTGTTGGTCTGCCATCCAGACTAAGATTGTGTGATCTCATGTGTCATACCTTTAGTCAACAGTCTGGACAGGGGAAAAAAACATCCAGGCGCTGGAAATAAAATGGTACATGTAAGCAAAGAAGACAACAGAAGATTGAGCAATTTCTTGTCAGGCGAATATTTTAGGCAGATTAATCTTCGTAAACTCTAGCGGAAAGTTTTGGTTGTTTGTCCACTTCTCTACTGCAGTCCTGTTTCAAAACGTGAGTGTTGCGTATGCACTCGTTTGACAGATCTGACTAATTTGTATGCAGACTGTTGGTTCCTAGCCTCTCAGGCAGATGCAGTCCGACTTTGAAAGAAGCTCACAATAAGTCGACTCTTGCGACATGCTTTTGGGTAGGCAGTGGGCCTATACTTGTTTTCCTTATAACAGAGCCCTGGAAGCCACACGGGGAGACTAAATAGTTGAGAGTGGCAAAACTTAATGCAAAGCAAACAGTTGCAAATCACTTGCAGGAGAATAGAACCAAGTATTTCAGAACTACAAAGTTCACTCACAATCCCTAAGCCATAGAAGTTGACGGATTCCATAAGGACTATTATAATACCCTGGTGGTCGGGTAAACCAATTTGTCTATATTTTTCTTGGAGATGATTTTTTTTTTTTTTAATTATGTCTTCTGACATTTGTATGTTTTTTATTTTTTTTCATTTTTCAGGCAAGACCTATCCCAAGGCAGGTGATAAGGTGGTGGTTCACTACCTAGGTTAGTTTCTGTTGTTTGTTGATTTTTGTTGTGTGAGAACTTCTTCTGCATTCTCTCTTAAAATGGTGGTTGGCATGCTCTGTTGTGGTTTACAACTAAACTGTGATATCTGCATTATTTGGCACAATGTGACTTATTTCAGCTAACCCTTAAGTAAGTAAAAGAAACAGACCTCTTTCACACCCAGAGTTTATCGAGCATATGATGCTAAATGCATATTTCTGTAGACCAGTCCGCACTCGACGGGTGATATGTCAACATTTACTTCCCAGAACTTTCCCTAGTACTAGTTTTAGGCTTGGATGACCTGGAAGCCAAAGTCATGTTTGAAAAAACCTGCCTTGACCCAGATTCACACCCAAGACCTTCGTGCCAGTATGCATCTGGCCGATACACCACCATGGCTCCCTTGGAGTATTGAAAGTAAGACCTAATATTGGCTTGGAACCAATTACTTCAGTCATGAAAATCACATCTAGTCCCAGTTTAGAGCTGATCAATGTAACCTTGCAAGTCAGACCTAATAGCAATTAAGAGCCATTCACTGAGTCAGTGAAAGTCAAACCTAATTATTTTTTTCAGAAACATTCTTCTTCATCTTATTCTTCAGCTTTGTATTCTCAGGTCAGATTGTCCAGTGGGCTGCCTCTGTGAATGCACATATCAATTGCAGGTCCCTCGTGGTTGCCCTCATGCTGGGCACACTTTGCTCTTGAGAAACAATCAAACTAGCTAGGAAAAATAAAATTATATCTTGGTCTGTTACCAATTACTGAAGCCATAAAAGCTATACCTAATATTGGTTTCTAACCAGTACTGTAGCTGTGACTTCTTCTTCTGCCTTTCTAACACCAAGTGGAGCATAGGCCCCTAGCCAACTCTCGCCAAGTCATTCTATCCTTCGCTATCTCATGCAGCTCTCCGCATGTCCTCCCCATCTTTCTGACTTCACTCTCTAACTACCTTCTCCGTGTGTTTTTTGGTATTCCTTTATACCAATTATACCTATATATTTCTATGCCCCTGTAGGTTCCAGTGCAAAGACATTCTAGTTACTTTGTTATCAGGTTGTTCTGAATGTGTGTCCTATCCAACGGCAGCATCTTTTCTTCACCTCTTGGTCTACTGGAACTTCTTTTTGACTTTTCCATGGTTGGTTGGTTTTTGTGGCTATGTTTTTACAAGATGGGGTAGCCAACCTAAAGCACAACCCTACCCTTAGTCACCTCTTGCGACATGTCAGGAAGCATGCATTGTCACTATTCTTTGTAGGTGTGACTGCAGCCATGAAAATGGGACCCAATGCTGCCTCAGCACTATCAGTGTAAGCCCTGCTAATCAGACCCACTGCAAATTACAAATAAGTCAATGTAGCTTTGAAGGTGTGCGCACTACAGGTTAAAAGTAAGTGACAATACCACAGAGGGAAAAAAAACGCCTGTTTTTTTTTTCCATAGGTACACTGACAAATGGAAAGAAGTTTGATTCCTCCTATGATCGTAACAAGCCATTTACTTTCACAATTGGCAAGGGCCAAGTCATTAAAGGTACATTTTTTCTTTCTGTTTATGCTTTTACATGCACCCTTAACACAGTTAGCAAGTCGTCTTGTGGGTGGTGGGTCTATCCCTCCCCCAAATAGCGCCCCAGAACCAAAATGGAGAAATTGTTTCATCTGTCCATTTTTGCTATGAAGTGTATCCAATGTTCACCCTTGTTGTTGCTTTGAAAAGATCTTCGTTTACATAGGTTACCTTTTTCTTTACTGCTTCTTGTACAGAAAACGAGAGGGAGAGAGAGAGAGAGAGAAAGAGAGGGAGAGAGAGAGCGAGAGTGAAAGAGAGAGCGAGAGAGAGCGTTACATAGAGCCAGTCTTGTTGTATGGATAGGAAACATGGAAGTCGGTAGGTTGCAGGAATATGGTTGAATAGAATACTGTGAACACTATGGGCAGCTAAAAGTGATAAGACAGGGATCTGTCTTATCACCACTGCTGTTTACCACATACATTGACAGTATGAGCCAGGCTGTCAAGCCCAGGAATAAAAATATGATCAATGAAACCACTCTCTGCCTTGATAGCATATACAGCTATGAAACTGCAACAGTAGTTAACTACAAGAATGAAGAATATAAAATATAATAAATCATATGAGAATCAACACTGAGGAAAAAAAAAGAAACAGATTTAAGGTCAGTAGAAAGAAATAAGCAGAACCTAAATACAGCAATGATAATAAACAAACATCTGAGTTTAAATATTTGAGAACAAAATTCACTGAAGGTGGAAACTTATATGAAGTAATTAACTTCCAAAGCGAGCAAGAAAATTTAGCATTGTAGCAGCCCCTAACCCCTCTTACAGCATAAGAAAATCCCAAACAGTACGAAGAAACATCTCATACGAAGCATATTAACACCCAGCATATGTTACCAGTGCCGCACATGGTCCCCCATATCAAACCAGAAAAGAAAATTAGTAACTATGGAAATGAGATGTATGAGAAAGGCTGCGGGAGTGACCAGAAGATATAAAATCAGGAGTGAAGTAAAAAAAAAAAACCAAGTCGGCATAGAAGTAGTTCTAAACTACATTTAATTACAGCAAATAAAATAATTTGCCAACTAAGAGAGATGGCATTGCAACACTATACCACACAAGGCAATGAACACAAAAACAAAAATGAGAAAGATGTAGAGCAAGATACAAACACAGAACAATATGGAAAGAGATCATCAGAGAAACTCTACAGGTGGCTAGAAGAGCAAGAAGCACAAGCTTGTATACCACTCAACACTTGAACGGGTAAAAGAGGAAATGAAGAAGAAGTTGACAAAAAGGAATGACACATTTTTGAAAGAAACAACTTTACTAACACAGCTGGATATTACACTTTCTTATAAAGCAACATGTGAAATGGTTTGGCCTTGTGATGATAATGCCATGGAGATCCTCTTTTTCAGATTCTTCTTCTCTTCCAACGGTTACTTCACTGAAAAACTGGTGGTTGGGGGAGGGGGGGGGGGGGTGTAAGGATCTTATGCGTACTCTTTCTGATGCAGTGTACAAGTTATACTTTATGGCTGTTCTTTATGTTGTTCTTCCATCGTTTATGTGGTCTTTCCCTTGTGCAGTTTTCATTACATTTCTTCACTGGCTGTCAGTAGCATCTGGTACTACCAGGGTATTCTCATTGCATGTTAAAACTGTCTTATCTTTTATCTTTAATGAACTGTATAGCTGGTTTCATTCCTACTTTTCCTCTAATTTCTTCTTTTAAAATGTTGTCTCTTGTCACCTGGGCAGCTTTCCACAAAATATCATCTCCTTTGTTATGATTTTGCACTCATTAGTTGTAATAAAGATGGTCCATGTTTGACACTAGTAGCATAAGATTTGTGTCCTCCCCTTACCCCCCCCCCCTCCCCCCCCCCCCCCCCCCCCCCCCCCCCCCCCCCCCCCCCCCCCCCCCCAAAAAAAAAATTAGTTTTAATTAGATTAGCTTTGACGAACCTGGTAGAAGAATTTCAGCAGCCATCAGGTGTTTTAGACCTCGTTACAGTGGAACAAGAAGAATTAAAGTGGAATTAGAGGAGTGGAACTAGAGGAGTTACAATTGGACTAGGGGATTTACAGTGGAATAATAGGAGTTACAGTGGAAATGAGAGTTACAGTTGAATTAGAGGAGTTACAGAGGAAGTAGAGGAGTCACAGTGGAACTAGAGAAGTTACATTTGGGGTAGTAAAGAAATGACTGTGAAACTGTAAGAGATACAGTGGAACTAGAGGAGTTACAGGGGAACCAGAGTAAAGTAGAACTAGAAGAGTTACATGGGAACTTGAGTAAAGAAGAACTAGAGGAGTCACAGTGAAACTAGAGGAGTTACAGGGGAACTAGAGTAAAGTGAAACTAGAGGAGTCACAGTGGAACTAGAGGAGTTACAGGGGAACTAGAGGAGTCACAGGGGAACTAGAGGAGTAACAATGGAACTAGAGGAGTTACTGTGGAACTAGAGGAGTCACAGTGGAACTAGAGGAGTAACAATGGAACTAGAGGAGTTACTGTGGAACTAGAGGAGTTACAGTGGAACTAGAGGAGTAACAATGGAACTAGAGGAGTTACTGTGGAACTAGAGGAGTCACGGGGGAACTAGAGGAGTTACAGTGGAACTAGAGGAGTCACAGTGAAACTAGAGGAGTTAAATGGCTAGGACAAAAACATGTTCGTTCAGTAACAAGTGCAACAGTGCAACAGACAGGGTACAGATAAGAACTGTGTAGGACATTCACTGTACGACTGCAACTCTTATATATGTGTATGTGTCTCTTTCTAACTGGTCGCTCTCTCTCTCTCTCTCTCTCTCTCTCTCTCTCTCTCTCTCTTTGTATTCTTTCTCTCTCTCTTTTCCACTCAGTCTCTCTCACTGTTGTCTTTATTTATATCTGTCTCTCTCTCTTTCTCTGTTTCTCTCTCTCTCTCTCTTTGTATCCTTTCTCTCTCTCTTTTCCACTCAGTCTCTCTCACTGTTGTCTTTATTTATATCTGTCTCTCTCTCTTTCTCTATTTCTCTCTCTCTCTCTCTCTCTCTCTCTCTCTGTCTCTCCTTTTTTCCCACTCATTATCTCTCACTGTCTATTTTTTTCTCTCTCTTTCTCTCACACATACACTCCCTCCCCCCCCCCCCGCCCCGCCCCCCCCCCCCCCTCTCTCTCTCTCTCTCTCTCTCTCTCTCTCTCTTTCTTGCTTTTATTGATATATTAAATTTAGTTATTAAAAGTTACTAGACAAAGAAATCTTACAAGAAATGTTTTTTATTTTTATTTTCTTATAGGATGGGACGAGGGTATTCCTAAGGTACGGCTGTTTTCTTGATGATTCTGTCTGTTGTTGAACTGTCTTTGTCGGTATTTAGGTGCATAAATCTTTAGGTCTTCGCCAGTGTGCAAAAATATACTCAGTATCACATTTTTTCCCCTCCTTTATGGAAAAAAAAAAGAAAAAAATAAGATACATTACTTAAAAGTAAGATATGTCTCACAGTAGCAATATATACACAACACAACTGACACATCATGCTTCAGTAATATATGCAAAACAAAAGTAAATCTATGACCCACACCCATGACAATAATATATATAACACAGCAGTAATATATTCCAACACAAGTGATACACTACACAGCTGATAAACCACAGAACTGATAACACTAAACAACAGTAATATACACACCCTACAACAGTAATAATTAATTGCTCTTGTTATTACTGGTTCATTAAACAGTTGTCTGTTATAACAGATCAGCAAAGGTGGGAAGGCGAAAATAGTAGTCAGCCCAGACTGTGCTTATGGTAAAAAAGGTGTCCCTGGAACATATCCTTTGCTTTTGTTGGTCCACATTATATTTAATTGTTTATTTTAAAGGTTATATGGTTATATAAGAAGTAGCAGTGGATTGGGTGTAATGACGTCTGCCTTTGGCTTGTGTGGACCTATTTAATTTTATGGTGTTAACTGTGTGGGTTTGTTAAAAAATAGGGAAAAATACTATTTTCCAACCTCATCCAGGGATTGTAGATTGGGCAGCTGCTCTTCTAAACAAATATGTAAAAAATGTAGGCAACATGTGTGCAGTACGTCACGTATTCCTCATTGTTAAAAACCGAAGAGTCATTTGAATAAGTCACTAAGTAAAGGACTCTTTATACATCCAGTGGCCAATCAGGCATATGATATTAGATTTATACTTTCATAGACCAGTCAGAACTAGTGTGCGATGTGTTCAGCATCACGCTGGCCACCTTCACTTTTCAGGACATTTCCATGTACCAATTTATAGGCTATGTCAACCTGAGAGCCAAGGTTTATTTTGGAAGAGAATCTGACCTGAAGCAGATTCAACCTTAAGACATTTGGGCCAGCAGGTAAAGGTGAATAAGTCACTGTCCAGGCTAAATTAAAAAATCAGAAAACCAACCCACACCCAAAAGGAAAATAACCGATGGTTCTGGAATGGAAACATGTTGACCTCTGCTGCAGAGGTCATGCACTATGATGATTCTAGACAAATATAGCAATTATGGAGGAATACCTGGGCGTTCTTCTCCTTCTTCTATATAGCATTTCCAGCTGTAAACTCCAGTGGAAAGTTCTGGTTGTTCATCCACTCCTGAAATTGTATTTTGTTTCAGAACTTGAGTTTTGTGAGCACATCTGTTTTACAGATCTGGCTTATTTGTTTTCATTTTGTTGGCTCCTCTCCTCTCATGCAAATGCAGTCCAAGTTAATCAGAGACAAACTGATACTGTTTACAGTTTCTATGTTCGAATCCACATTACGTCTGATTTATTTTTTCAAAATTACCTTGGTTGCAGCACTATTCACTAAAGTAATGTGATGGGTGGGTGGGGGGGGGGGGGGGGGCTTTGGAGAATGTTGTGATGCCTAGGAAAATCAACGGTAGAAGAGGGTGAGACCGACAGACAGATAAACTATGACGTATGGAATGCAACGGTGGCACTGAAGGATATCATAGGTGGAAATGATCCGGAGTACCAGGGACCGAGATCTGTGGAAATGCATGAACGCCTATGCCAGTCGGCAGGGCACGTGTTGATGATGATGACCTTGGCTCCTAGATCGGTAAAGTCCTGGGAAGTAAAGGTTGCCAGTGTCGTGTTGACCATATCACCCACTGAGTGTCGATTGGTCTATAAAACTATGAGTCTAGCATCATATGCCTGATAGCCACTGGCCTGAAAAGAATCCTTTATGTTACATATTTCTCTGATGTTATCGTTCCACCTTGCTTTTGATCTATCTTGTGTTTTGCATACCTTTCCTCTTGTGATAAAAGCCTTGTACTTTATGGCATCACAAAGCAATTTCTGTATGTGATGTGAGTACAACATTTGATGCTTTTGTATATTATTTGGTGGTTTTATGTTTTATGTCTTCGTAATGCCGGGGTGCTAGGTTTCGATCCCAGCTGCAGACAATTTGTCTTGCGTTGGTTTCGACAGTGGTACAGAGAGCTGGACGTTTAGAGAGCAATGGCAAACTACTAAACGTAAAATTTGCCTAGAAAAATCACAACAGCCAAAAGAAGCTGGTGTTGGTTCTTCAATGTAATGTAAAGGATACGCAGCCAACTTTATGTCAATATATATATGTTGTGACTACATTACTGATTTTGTCTCATTCTGGTCAGTGCTGTAACATTTCTCACACATCCCCTTTCCATAGTAACTACTGTTTTTGTCTGTATTGTTGAGAGTGATCATGGTCAACATCTTTCAGTGTCCCTTGTCTTCAGTGTTTGCAAGTAGGTGTGGTTTTCCTGTTGCATATCCACTTTAATGTCACCTCTTCCTTGCTTGCCAATAACCACAGCATAGAAAGCAATCAGGAATCATGGCCACTAACATTGCCCCTGCCAGGTAAGCTGTCAACATTCCAACACCGACAAAACTGGTTCTGAGATGCCTGTTTGTGTTTTTAATCACTCCTTATCAAAGAGACGTTTTCAGTTTCCTTTTTGTGAAATTTGAAAACAGTTTTATGTGTGGCATTTGAATGCAGGATCTTTCACTATTTGTGTTTTTTTTCTTTTATAGTATTTAATGGGCGAGGGGTTAAATTATTATAGTTTCCAATAGTAACAAGTTTATCATATAAATCCTTATCTGTTCACGCTTGAATAAGTCTGTTCAATATTAGTCCATGCCTTGCTTTTAAATTATATATCAGTAGTAGAGGTTACAAGAGAACTAGTCATGGCAGCATACATCTTGGAATATTTCAAATAGTATAGTAATCATAAGTCTATTGACTGATAAAAATGGGGAGTTTTTCATCATAAGGAATTCACTTTAGAAAGGGTTTATACATAACTTTGCTACATCCACTATAGTAAGACATAGTGTTTAAATTGGGCAAAGTGTGATATTTCATAGAATAGTTTTTTTTAAGTACCGAGTGATTTTTGTGCTTGCCATTTGAATGTAAATGGAAACCACAAGGTTAACATTTGATCATTAGTGAATGGTAAATCAGTTAATGGTTCTCTTCACTAGTTATGACAATATCCAGCACATTAACATTCTGCCTTCTCTGAGTTCATAATTAACTTTTTATGGTTTCTCCTTCACAAACTCAAAATGTACAAATTAGTATACTACTTTCTCCTCACTGAGTACACTTTGTATACCGTGTTTCCCAGAAAATAAGTCAGGTCTCATATTAAAAAATGCACTAGGTCTAATTTTTTGGGGGATTACTTTTTATTTTAATTCAGATATATAAAATCTCGAATTCTGACCTGAATTTCTTGTGACTCAATTTCCCGCTGTACAGTCATTAGCAACAGCTTTCCTTGAATGCGCGTTTCTTGTCCATGTAAGGCTTAATAACTATAGTTTTTTAGCATAGGGCTTATATTAAAAGCATCCAGAAAAATTGTACAAGAGCTTTTTTTCTGGGGTCGGTATAATTTTCAAGGAAACATGTTAGTTCCCCAACACTGACTCAGTATCTATTCTCATCCAACAGTTGTTTGCCTTGTTGTCTTTGATCATCTTCTCTCTTTGGCCACCTTCTCATTCTGCTGTCTTCTGGAGCTTCTCAATACAATAAAATTGTTGTTGATCTTGTAATGACATTTTCTATGTATACATTTTTCATTTCCAACATTCATCTATTGTCTTTGTGGCATTATATATGTGTTAGCTGGAGGACAGCTGTTCAGGAATCCTTACCTGCACAGGACTAGAGGTTACACCCTCAAGTGTCACCATCTCAAAGCCCCTGTCATAACTACTGGAAGCAGGACACAGTGTCTGGGATATGGCCGCCTGGCTTGCCATTCTTTTTCTTCTACTTCTTCAAAGGGCTCACCAGCTGTAAATAGTGGAAAGTTCTCTCGTTTCACCCACTTCTGGATTTTAGTCTTGAAACAACGTGAGTTGTGTGTGCACATCCGTTTTACATATCTAGCTTATTTGTATGGAGACTGTTGATTCCTTGCATCTCAGACATATGCACTCCGACTTTAAAGAAAACTCCTAATTAGACAACTCTTACGACATGCTTGTTAGGGAAGCAGTGGGCTTCTTTTCTTCCTCCCCCAGCTATCCCCCCCCCCCCCCCAACCCTTCCCCGCTTATTTTCTTGGAAAATATGGTGATCAGTGCATTAATTGGTCTGGCAGAAGTCTGAGTGGCTTTATTTTAGAGTAGGGCTTGTTATCCTGCCTGTGTTATTAGAGCCAGTAAGGGATGCAAAGAACAGCAATATTTCAGCCTACAAGTCTGTTATAAAAAGCGGCTAAAGAGAGAGCTGGTTTATGATATGCTCTGTCTCATCGTCACATAAAACTGGCGGCAAAATCAATATCATATCTTCCAAGGGCTTGGTATGTTCGATTGAAGATTTTCTTCTTCTGTGTTTGCCCTTAGAAGGTCGGTTGGTATTTTGTTCTGTGGTTTACAGCTAGGCTGCAGCATCTACAACTTTTGGCCCATGTGCTTTCATCAAATCCCTAATTAGTCGCATTTTATGACATATTTTATTAGGGTAGTCACCCCCCCCCCCCCCACCACCCCACCAAATGAAGCCCCATAACCATCATGAGAAGTTAGGGCTTTACGTGAGTTGGCTAAGGGCTCTATTTAGAGAAGACAAGCAGGAGGGCGCGAACGGTTTATTTATTTAAGCCTCTAGTCAGCTGGTTGATCGGGCAATGTGATCAGGGACAGTATCTGGTGACTGCGAAAACTCCGCCATCCCTTTTTTCTCTCCCCCATATGTTTACCACCGGTAAACATTACTAACATTTACAGCTGGTGTTTAATTTAGGCAGCCTATCATCTTAGGGTTGGAGAGCTGAGTCGTTCCGTGTTGCATCCTAGGGGATTTGGACATGGTAGTGTATTGTAACACGTGTTTCCATTTGTCAACATTAGAACTTATGTTTCTGTTTAACAAAATTAGTGTAAACATTTTCATTTACCGACATTAGATCAATCGTTTCCCCATTACCAACATTAGAAGATTTGTTTCCATTTATCATTATTAGAACGAATGTTTCCTTTGTCAACATTAAAACAAATCTTTCTAATTGTCAGAATTAGAACACATGTTTTTATCTGTATGGAACATTAGAATAAACATGTCAGTTTATCAACATTAAACATGACAACGCATATTGACACTGTTTAACATTAGCACATGTTTCCGTTTGTTAACATTAGATCAAAAGTTTCGATTTACAGTATTACAACATCTGTTTTCATTAATCGTGATCCCCCGTGTGGGTTCCGGGGCCCCATTGTGGGGAAAACAAGAATAGACCCACTGCCTCCTCAAAAGCACGTCGTAAGAGTCGACTAATTGGGGAGCTTCCTTTGAAGTCGGAGTGCATCTGCCGGAGAGGCAAGGAACCAACAGTCTGCATTCAAGAGAATGAGATCTGTAAAACTGATGCACACGCAACACTCAGGTTCTGGAGCAGGACTGCAGTTCAGTAGTGGACGAGCAACCAGAACCTTCCGCTAGAGTTTACAGCTGGTGAACGCGAAGAAGAATTAATCATGATTAGAACACATTTCTAGTGAGTTTCCTTAACAGATGTCACTATAGGTCCTAATGAAACCTTGGTCTTTGAAGTACATCTGGTGGACATCAATCCCGCATAGACCCCAGCAGCAGCAGCAGAGCCAAGCCACAAGAAGACAAATTCTCAACCACGTACTCCTGAATGTTTAGAATTGTTGAAAACTATTTATATCAAAAACATTTTTCATGTTTATTACTTCAATAACAGGTAGCCTTATTTTTTAAATAATAATTAATTTACAATACGTAGTCATTACATCTATATAGTATAATACACAATCATGCAGTGGGTATAAGTACAAGCAGGGCTTTTTTTTTAATTAGGAAAACAGTTGCCGGTAGTCACCACAAAGTGGCACACACAAAAAAGTGCAGTTGTTCGCCACAAAGTAGCCCTGAAAAAATGGATGCCTAACTGCATGTTGCCGCATACCGCCAGAAAAAAAAAGGCGCTAAAATCAAATCACAATAGAGCACACATAAGATAATATTACATACATAATCATTCAGTATATATTCACACAGTTCATAATCATGTCAAACATAATGATGTAATGCGTGTTAGTACACAACATAATAATGTACAAGTAACAATTAGTACATACATACACTTATACTATGGCACGTTATAATGCATATAAAGCACGCTGTGCGTGATAGTACATAACCATACACTACATGTCGAAAGTTATAAATAGGGCTGTACCGAATAGTGATTTTCACTATTCGGCCGAATAAGAATAGCAGTACCAAATATTCGGCCGAATATGAATAGTGTATAGTGTATACAATATATCTTTTTTTTTTTTAAACACACACACACACACACACATTCATAATGTCAAATGCAGGCTGAACTTTTATTTCACATAAAGTAGCACATAATAGTTATCTTCTTCTTTAGCATTCTGAGCCCTTGAGGTTTACTGTTGCAGATATCACTCGTCTCCGTTCATTTCTCTGTCTGGCCTTATGTTCACAATTTGTGACACCAGTTGTTTGCAGGTCTGGCTGGACATTATCTCTCGAACTTCTGCTACGTGGTCTACGCCCATTCCTCTCTCAGGTGTATACAGTTTTTACTTCTCTGTCATCTGACTTGCTTTCAATATGGCCTAACAATTTTAGTCTGTTAGCTCTCATGATGCCAGTGATCAATGGTGATTTAAACTGATTATGTGTTACGCTGTTGCCTCTCACTCTCCATTTCCCGCTGTTGGCATCTTTGATGGGTCCAAAGATTTGTCCTAAGACTGTTTTCGAAAACTTGTAATAAGGCCTCATCTCTTTTATTTCTGCTTTAAGTTTCAGAGCCCTATAAACCGACTAATTTTATCAACGTTTTATATGTTTTTATCTTGGTGTTGCGAGACAGACACCTTGACTTTAACAGATGTTGAAGGGCATATTATACTTTATTTCTGGATTGTATTTCTTCTCTCAGCATGTTGGAGCAGTTGAAGTTGGCACCCAAGTACTTATCTGTTTCCGTTTGTTTGATTTTCATATTATCGACTTGGATGTGATCAGAGTTTATATTCTTTCCATGTCTAGTTAGTATTCGTACAGAATAGTAAACATTTAAAAACATTTTATGTTTTGCAACCTTCAGTCAGTCTGTGGTAACTAATAACTAGGAATGAAAGAATCCTAAGTATTATAACAAGTAACTAAACTTGGAAATTGTCACTGACAGCTCAGTTTATGCATGAAAGCTGCATTAGCTTTCAACAAAACCAATCATTCTATGTTGTCAGCATGCAGAATGTATGCAGAAGCGGGTGTAAGGTAACTACTATTCGTATTCGGCCCGATCGCAACTATTCGGCCGAATACCAAATAGTCAGTAGGTCTACTATTCGGCCCCGAAGCGAATACGAAGCGAATATTCGGTACAGCCCTAGCTATAAATAACCCAGCTTTGCTATAAACAGAGACAAAGCTAGTAAATCACTCTTCTTCATTTTCACCCTCTGTAAAATCTAGTGGAAAACTGTGGTTGTTCGTCCACCTTTGTACTTAGATATTGTTCCAGGATTTAAGTTTTCATCCAAATTGAAACATACTGACGAACACGGAAGAGGATATAAAGCATAGTCATGTATGTATATTGGAGAGAACACTCTGCCAAGATGTAGGTAGGCAGAGCAGTTTAACGGCATTATGGACCCCTGGGTAAACCAGTGTTCCGCGGCCCCAATCACCATCTCTCCCTTTTACATACACTATCATGAGGCCCCTATGCTTGTGCTCCCCCTGGCAAGTGCCCAGCAGGCCTATGCATTAAGATGAGCCTGGATGTGAGGTTTAATGACACCACGTTGAAAGAAACTAATTCATAAAGGTTACTGCTTATTTGTATAACAAATAGATAACCTACAATTTTTGCACACATCTGGAGAACTAGAAAATTTTAATGTTGAGGCAACAGAAAGTTTGAGGAGTAGAGAGGCAGGAAAACACTGGAGAAAAAAAACGAGTTCGTATTATGACACAGAGGAAATTCACTGGAATGCATCGGCAGTGCATGTATGTGTATCTATAAAGGGGTTATATGCAACCTACTGGTTTAACATCCTGAAGAATTAGACCTCAGAAATTGCACTCGTGAACCCAACGACGCAGCGTTAGTTGAACCCATGATCTTGTATTGCAGAATTATAATGCATAATTAATAGTTATTAAAATGTTTTACTGTAAGGTTGTATAACCAATTATCCAATACATTTTTATTCTTATAATAGAGACGTGTCTGTCATCTGTTTCTGTGTTTTCAACAATTAAGGATTAACAGTAGGTTGATGACCACATGATTATGTATCAAATATCACACGCGGGAGTCGTCGTGGTCCAGCGGCTAGACGCTCGCCTGTGGATCAAAAGGTCGTGGGTTCGGGCGCTGACGGAGCCAGACTTTTTTTATAAATGACTTTGGCTCCCAGGTCGACCCAGGCTTGAGTGGGTACCAAGTACATCACCCACCAAGTGCCGATTTGTCTATAAAATATAGGTCTAGCCCTATATGCCTAATATGCTTTAAGGCGTGCAAAGGGGTCCTCTAAATGACACATGTAGAAGCAGGGGAGTTACAAAGGGATCTAGCCGACGCTCTAAACTCGGGGGAGGGGCGAGACGGATATACAATCAGACTGTTACTGGTACCATCGGAATTTTAATTCTGCGCTTGCTGCTGAAGATGGGAACGGGGCGCTTATGGGAGTGTCCCGAGTGCTGTGATGTTGATTCCTAATTCAACATTCAACATTCCGATGGACGGCAGATAGAAAAGGGAAACATGGACGACCTCAGGAAATAGGGGTGGAGGGTAGAAAAGGGGAAATAGACAAATATAAAATGACTTGGACTACTGGACGTAAATTTGCCTAGAAAAACTACAACAGCCAAAAAATGCTAGGGTTGGTTCTGCAACGTCCTGTAAAGGATACGCAACTAAAAAAAAATGACTTTGAATACATACTATAGGCAGAAAAGCAACAGTTTGGCAGTAATGGAGATAAACTTATGAAAGCCTTGTGTCAACAGCGACATGAGTAGGCTATAGATCTCTACCCTACCCCTCCTCCTCCAATTGATTCAGTACACGCATGTACTTTCGTTTGAAATTGTTTTGTTGCAGTGACCCGTTACCATCAATACATATCATTCCAAAGCAGACGAAACTTTTCCCCTTTAGTAAAGTTACGGTTAACAGCAGCAAGTACTAACCATCTGCTACTTACTCATTGACCAAGAATGTCAACATTCCTAAAATAACGTTCCTAAAATAACAACACACAGCTCCTTCCCACTGTTTGTCCGCGGACAAGCAAGCTGACAAGTCTACGTTTCGGACTACTATTTGCAGTAAATGTTTGATTTGCCCCTTATTGACTCTGCTAAACCTTAGCAGTCATCATTTAGTTTTCCTAATCCACTTCTGGGGTGGAAAATGTTGGGAGGGGGCGGGGGGGGGGGGGGGGGCAGAAACAGAAGCCTAATTGGAGGGGGGATAGGACAGTACCTTATCTAGCGACAATCCCGCCCGTCTCTCTAGCGTAGTTGGCTAAACCGAATTGCGCGGTGAGCGGGTGACGAAATCCTTGTGGTCCGGGTTCACTCCTGGGGGTGGGCAGAAAAGCCACATTTCTCCCAGATTTACGGTATTTAAAATGGAATCAATGCCGAAAGGTTGCGATATCCATAATACCGAGCCTAAAGGTTAACAACTCATGGCTTCTGGATACTAAAACAAACAAACAAAACAGCGACAATCCCCAGTGATTGTGACGGCCATGCAAAAAAAAAAAAAAACTATATGAGACAAAGGGAACGGTAAGCTTTTTTTTTTAAAAGAAAGGGTAACGTGAACGTCACAGTAAAGCAATTCTATCCCACATCAGGGCTGTCGAAATTTGTCGAAATAAATATACATAAACTGGCTTACCTTATATTTGGGGGCCATCGTGAAGTAGTGGCTAGACGCTCGCCTGCGGATGGGAAGATGGTGGGTTTGGATCCTGACGCAACCGTTCTTTTCTTCAAAAATGACCTTGACTCCCAGGTCAACCCAGCCTTAAATGGATACCGTATACAACCCTAGTCGGCTCTGTAGCTAAGTCGATGCAAACGCTTTGTAATGCCGGGTTCGATCCCAGCTGCGGGCATTGCGCCTTGCGTTGGTTTTGACAGTGGTATCAAGAAAGCCGACCTTCCAGCAAGAAATGGCAAACTACTGGAGGTAAACTTGCCTAGAAAAACCACACAACAGCCAGGCGCTGTTGGGGGTGGTTCTGCAACGTCCTGTAAAGGATACGCAACTAACCTTATTATACAGCCCTAGGAAGCAAAGGCGGGCGGCGTGATGTTGACCACATCACCCACCGCGCGCTGATTGGTCTATAAAATATATCTCTAGCCCTTTATGCCCAGTACGGCTGAAAACGTATAAAAGGGTTTTTAACTTCCATCATGTAGCAGGTCCTTTGCAGAACGTCGCTCTCATCCCGGTCTGCATGAAAGAAACTAGGTCTCTCGCCAGCTCTCCCGCCTCGTGTACTTTCATATTCAAGAAGTCCATCTT